TGTAGATAGCTATATTTATTTTTATATTATGGTAATAATGTACCTATATCGATAAGATATTCTAAATTCAAAAGCCTGATAATTAACTGAGATTATCACGCTATATTGATGTTAAATCTCCAACTCAAATTCCCAGCTTATTAAAATTATAGAAAACATAGAAATGCACAATTATTTTTATCAACAACAGCTAGAAATAAAGTAGGCTATCGCAATTTTCCTACGGGAATAATGAAAGGAGCTACCTACTATTTTACATAACCACGATTGTGTTGTGGCAAAGTAGAATAAATTTTATTGTCGACACCCGTCTTCCCGCGGCTGAAATATCTGACTAAGAGACTGTATATTTAAGTAGATTCCTTATTCAAAGACATTAAAAAATAAACACTATTTGATTCATTGTTTTGTCGATGCACTTAATTGTCGATTTTATCATAAGTAATAATACATATTATGACGTCATAATTAACGATTTTATAAAAAAAATTGTATGTGATAGAACGGCAAACGATCTGTCCTATTACCTGGTGGTAATAGTAATCAGCGCTGCTCATGGACACCCGCAACAACAAGAGGAGTTACGAGTGTGTTGTCGACCTTTTGGGGATTAGGAATTTGGAGATGTAGCCGGTTTTCTGGGAGGCCGTGTTATCACTCCGGTCGAGCCGAACCATTCGTCTCACACACTTTTTGATTAATTCTGATGAATATACCTGAACGTTTTAAACTCATTCCCGACCCGTCCACCACTAGTGGAAATTATGGAAAATCCTTCTAGAACAACTGCTTTATTCCAACAACTGACTGTCACTGGTTGTTGTTTGCATGGAGTTTAGAGAGAAGGAAATTGCTAAGTGCTAAAGCATTAGCCCGCCTGTCCCTGATTTGTAGAATAGTACAATATTTTTCAGCTACCAGCCGCGCTGCCGTTGGTAAGTAGTATCTGTGGAGTTAGTTCGTGAGTGCAAGTAGCTTTTTCTAGACCTATAGGTCGGCAAAACGAGCAGACGGACTACCTGATACCGCAACACAAAAGGAGTTACGAGTGCGATTCCGGCCTTTTAGATATTTAAGGATTTGGGAGGGGGATCGAATGGCTCTCCGGTAACCTCACTCACACGGCGAAACACAATGCTGTGGTTGTTTCACACCGGTTTTCTACGAGGCCGTGGTATCACTCCGGTCGAGCCGAACCTTTCGTGCCGAAGCTTGGCTCTCTCACACTTGATGTAGATGAAGTTGTTTGAATAATGTACTTTAAGTTATTGTGACAACTTAGCGATCGCAGAACCTCACTTATTTTGTCCGTATTTTTGGGACACTATTTTCTACAGCGCATATTCTTCATCTCTGTAACCTCCATGGATGCTGGATACAACAGTTGCTCTCATAAGTATGTAGTTCCTATTATCTATACTAATATTATAAAGAGGGATGTAAGTTGGTTAGTTTGTATGTAGGGGGTAATCTTTGGAACCGCCAGTCGCATTGCCGAAATTCTTTCACTGATAGATAGCTATAATGTTCCTGAATACTATAGGCTGTAAAACATCACGCTACGATTAAACGGAGCCGAGCAGCGGGTGAAACGGCGCGAGAATAGCAAGAAGTGAATAAAACTCATTAAAATTGTCTTTTTTATTTCAACCTTCGCCATTGTCTTGAAAAATAATCTAACCTAAATAGTTAATCTTTGCTGCCTCTATAAAAATGATCCTATTTCAAACAGTTTCGTCTCGAGTGTGTACTCAGAACATTCTTGGTGTTATCAAAGATAAGTGTGTGTGATAACTGATAATATAAAACATACAAGTAACCTGTTGTAAGGAATGGGGTCGGACTGTAAAGTTAAGATTTTAAGCGTAGGTACCTAATGTACCTATACCTTTTTGGAATTGTTGGGGAAATTGGCGGTGGCAACTGCACTTAACCTTTCGTATGTCTTAGGTACACGGTGTCTTCTCATCGAAAATCCCACAGTGCCTGAAGACCAGGATGTTTAACCAGTGTGTGTTGCCGGTGATGACGTATGGTACCGAGACGTGGTCCTTAACTTCTGGCCTTCTTTCTAAACTCGGCGTCGCTCAGCGCGCGATCGAGCGGGCTATGCTCGGGGTCTCTTTGCGCGACAAAATCCGAAATGTGGAAATTCGCCAAAGAACCAAAGTCACCGACATAGTTCGTAAAATCTGCAGGCTAAAGTGGCAATGGGCAGGCCACGTCGCTCGAAAGACGGACGGTCGATGGGCCCGAAAAGTCCTAGAGTGGCGATCAAGGACCGGAAAACGTAGTGTGGGCAGGCCTCCCGCTGGGTGGACCGACGACATCGTCAGAGTCGCGGGGAGCCAATGGATGCAGGTGGCAACTTGTCGTTCGACGTGGAGAGCTAAGGGGGAGGCCTTTGTCCAGCAGTGGACGTCTTCCGGCTGATGATGATGATGATGATGTCTTAGGTAAACGTGGATCCACGCGAGACACAATGTATTTTCTATTGGTTCTTATAAACCGACATTCAACGGGTTAAAGATGATTATGGTCTAGTTTACCGATCTATTCTGTAACCTCCTAAGACCCAACCTAAATGTTGGACGACTAAATGAACATTGTACTAAAACTAGGTGCAAGTAGTTAGGTGCCGCTTAAAACTTTGATTTAGTAAAAAGCGATCAATTTCAGTCTCAAATTGGCTAGATTATTTAAGCCCAAATAGGTACGTTTAAATATCATGTCATGAGCTATAATTTAGTGATTGTAATAAGTCTAATAAGTATTTTATAACACTGTGACAATATTTTGTCATTAAATTAGGTAGTTGGGCCTTACGAGGATAAAACAACTACCAGTTATGATATGAATATAAGGAGAAGGCACAATTTGTCAAAAATTAAAACGAATGCAGCATTACAGTGTTTTTTTTTGAAGGGGAGAGAAATCATCAAATCTCTTCTCTTGTCCAAGGCGAGGGAGGGAGTCAGTCTCTTACTGACTAAAAACCATCCCGTCCCTTCTCCCGCTGCTGGTCGAGGACCCGGTGCCTTCTTGTCATTGACCCGCAACCCCGGATGTTCTGAATATAAGGAGATATTGCAATTGAAAAGAACCCAATGAAGCCAATATTAAGAATTTAAACTCCGTTTTTGCCATTCAACCTTACAGTGTATAGTTTTGTGTAGGTACTATTAGTGCATAATTATAATGTAAATGTCCATGTATGCCTTTACTGTTGATAAAGACAACAGGGGACGACTGGATGTGGATGCCAACCGACAGGTTTGGGAGAAATTGAGAGGCCTATATTTAATGGGGGATGTCTTGCAGCTATCATGCATGTATGATATACCGTATATTTTAATCATCAAAATCGAACCGAAGAGGTAGAAATAAACATAACCTTTTTTTATGTGTCGGTCGGCAATCGAGCAGCTGGATAATCTGATGGTAAGCAACCAGTGCCGCTCATGGACACCCAAAACACTAGGGAAGTTACAAGTGCCTTGCCGGCCTTTTGGGGATTAGGGACTCAGAGAATTTGGGATTGGGGACTGAAGGTATGGGAGAAAGGGGAATTAATAGCTTCGGTAACATCATTCACACGATGAAACTTACTGTTATGGTTGTTTCACGCCGGTTTTCTGTAAGGCCCTGGTATCACTTCCGTCAAGCCGACCCATTCATGCCGCATATGGCTCTCCCACACTTAAACTTACACACCTAAACTTGAAATATATAAATAAATCCCTAAAAGTATTAGTACACCTTTAATCCCTAATACCGGGGGTTAGAATGAACATATCCCCGCGTTTCTCCAGTTATGATATGACCCCTTGGCTTCTAAATTTTTGTATGTTATGGGACGGCAAACGACCTGCAGTACCACCTGATAGCTGAAAGTAATCATTCGGCACCACATATGGACCTACAACTTTGAAGAATTTCAAGTGCATTGCGGACTCTTTGGAGTTAAGTTATTGAGGATTCGGATGGGGGATGGAGCCCTTTGAACTTTGTTCCACGCCGGTTGCCTGTGAGGTGGTGGATGGTAGCCCCGATGAAGCTAGGCGAAACATGGCTCTCCCATAATAAACAATGCCTACAAGGGCACCGTAAGCCTATAAGGGCTGATTGCCATGAAAAGGAAAAGTTTTGAGAACTAAACCAACACGCTTGCTCTTAGACTCATGGCCGATTGGTGATTTCAGACTTACAGAAATATGAATCCAAGTACTCATAAGGAGCCTCAAAGAGCCAATAGACCACCACAGACGGGGCCCTATAGGGCTGATGTTCAGCCGGGGTTGTGGGGTAAGCGCAATGAGGCACCGCGACCTTGGCCCAGAGCATGAGAAGGAACAGGGGGGTTTTTAGTCAGTAAGAGTCTGACACTCCCTCCCGACCGGCCCTGGGCGGGAGAAGTAATTTCATGATTTTCCCCTCACAAAAAAAGTACTCGTACGGACACTTACGTATATCTAAACCATCATATGATACAATGATATCTAAACCATCCTACCTAATATATTTAGATAACTTGGAAAAAGTCACTACTCAATACTTAGATTTATAATCAATCTTCTTTGAAGGAGTATTTTTATAGAAACTTCCCAGAGTAAAGTAGTATGAGTGATGATCTCCGGCCACCGTAAGCGCGGGTCTGCCGACGGCGAGTAAGGGTAGCTCGCCGCCCGACCAGAACCAGACCCGAGCGTACGGTGGGTAGCGTATCGCGCGCGCCTCAAAGAGCCAATAGACCACCACAGACGGGGCCCTATAGGGCTGATGTCCATGATTTTCCCCTCACAAAAAAAAAAATAATAACGTTCTATGTTAATCGCAAGCATTTTCCCTTGTTTGTTTTTAAAACAGGATACATTTGCATATATACTTAATCGCAAAAATATAACATTCCACAACAAATTAATTGATTCAGTCATCAGTTCCGATGATTCCTTATTGATTATCTTTCCGATTACAACAATAATTATCGATACAGATAACGGTTGTTGACGTTCACAAAATCAGTGTTTCTTTACCAATTTCCAAGATGGCTTCCTTTAAATTGTGCATTTGTTTTTTATTTTCTTTATTCTGTTTCGTGTGTAACGAATCTATATTGTGCGAAGTTGGATTTTGTAGGGTAAGTTTTTAATCAAAATTATAGTTTTAAGATAATTCTTATCAAATTTGGTAGCAATATAATCCGTATTGCTACAAATTATGAAACGGGTTTTAATAGTTCTTTATTAACCCAAAAGTGTCGATATTTGGAACGAGGTCTGCTGTAGTTTTGCATATTTTAGGGTTTTATTTTCTACACACGGATGAACCGTATCTAATGAAAGAAATATATCTAAGTATTGCTTCTTTTACTGGGTAGACATTTTAGGTACTTATGTGACTTTTTTATGGCGATCTTAAAGTATTGACCCGCGAAAAACAAAGAATGGAAACGTTCGCTTGTAGAAGAATGTTTAATGTGACTTTTAAGTACTTAATAGTCGTTTCTGAATAACTTTACAGTAAGTTATGAATCTAAATCAGACGTGATCATCTCAATATTTAACATAAATCGATTGTAATCTGTTCAGAACAAACTTAGGCAGTATCAGTGTCATTTTTGTTTCTTTGTTCGAATTTTTGGCTAAGCTACTGAATAATTTTGAGAAATTTGAAATAACTGACTAAATGTTTTTTTATGGAATAAATAGGCAAAAGAGAAGATGGATTTGAATGGTAAGCAATCGGCGCTGCCCATGGACACACGAAACACCAAACAGGTTACAAGTGTGTTGCTGGCCTTTTGGGGATAAGAGTTGCGGATATTTAAGGATTGCGAAGGGATAGATGAATGGGTGGGATAATATAAAAGCAGGCTATACTATTCTACGGTCACAAGAGACATTGAAATAGTACGTAGACCAGGATCTTAGATGCCTTAGAAGATGGTCTTTGGTGTTTTTTTTTTTTTATGTAATAGCTCGGCAAACGAGCAGACGGATTACCTGATGGTAAGCAATCAGCGCCGCCCATGGACACTCGCAACGGAGGAGTTACGAGTGCGTTGCCGACCTTTTAGGGATTAGGGATTTGGAGATTTAGGGATTGAGGAGGGATTGGGGAAGGGGAAGGATTGGGCCTCCGGTAACCTCACTCACACGGCGAAACACAACGCAGTGGTTATTTCACGCCTGTTTTCTGTGAGGCCGTGGTATCACTCCGGTCGAGCCGACCCATTCGTGCCGAAGCATGGCTCTCCCACTGGTGTGGGATTAAACTAGTATCATCATCCTTACAAGGACTGGACACGATTATTGAAACTTTGTGTTTAACCAATGCAAACCATTAGACCCACACACACACATACATTTTTGTAGGTTATAAGTTTTTATTCAAGATTTTGCAATTTTAAACTTTATCAAGAGGCAAAGAAACCTTCAGAAACCCTAAGCTTAGGGCGAAAAGCTAGAGAGTATGGCGAATTAGTTTTCATTACTTAGTTTCCATCTAAGCAAAAACACTTTAGAGGTCACTGTCAAGTCTTTCAAGAGGCATTAATTAAGTCTTTTTAGTAGATCGGCTCTGGACCCCCCAACGCGTCAGACAGAGGTCTAAAATTACTACCTTCTTTTCCCTACAGACGTATCTTCACGAGACAGGCTGCACAACTCCTCCGATCCACTGCTCAGCGAACAATGCGACCCACAATGGAATCAACCTCCTTTCTCCGACTCTTTGCAACTGCTGTGAATATTGCATGCCCCTTTATGGTAAGTTATAAAACTCTTTTTCTTTAAGGAAGGAAAGCATCCAATAAACCTCTCAGCCAGGGTTTGAAATTGACTGCAAGATTGGCACAGTGTCTCGTTGACTCCGATTGGTACTTGACGAATGGTTCGGGAGAACGCCCATGCACCGAGACATCAGGATGACTCCAGCACGCATCTCCGCCTTTCCCCAAGCGGAGGCAGACCATGAGGATTTCCACCCGTTAAAAAAAGCGTATGGTTGACTGACTGCTATGCAACGTGTACCGGGTTCGATTCCCGGAAAAGTGCTAAAGGATTTTCTAATTGAAATAACCATTGTTGGCTTGGAGTTAGGAAATTCGGTGGTGTTGCACCGCTGTAACTCGGTAAACTGTTGATCCTACACTTGACTTCTCTCCAGTCTTGGTCTGCCATCCCATAGAACAGAGAGTGCACCTGTGTTTGCGCACACACTTAATATGCACTAAATATGTAATGCACACAATTACAGATATGCGCAAAATAAAATTGCCTCAAACGAATCTACTGATCCAGACATATTGTTTTATAATCAGAAGGCATATGAAGCATAAAGAAATTGAGCCTGAAAATAATTGATTCTTCTGCTCAGTAAGCTTTATAATAAATCAACTCCCTTCCGCCCGCGGCTTTTCCTGCGTAGTATATTGATAAAAAGATGTCCTATTCCGGAGTGTATCATATGCATATGCCAAATATCATCCGGTTCCGTCCAGCCGTTTTGGCGTGATTGAGTCACAAACATTTAAACATCGTAACTTTTGCATTAATAATATTAGTAAGAATAATGTAACACTAAGAATAAACATTTTTGGAAAATCCTACACCTCTTTTTGTGTCTACTTCCAGGAGAAGGAGAACATTGCAGTAGAGGAGGACCAGGTACTGGCACCACGGTCGGAAGATGCGGAGACGGGCTTTACTGTGAGGAGGGAGAGGATGATTCTGTGTGCGTGCGAAGTGAGTTCCTCGTTCATTTGTTATTTGGTGTCTTTTGTAAACTGACCTAGTTACTTTTATTCGACCAATTTGCCTCGGCCAGCATTCCATCAGTAGCCATTTACTGTCCACTGCAAGTTATATTTTTTTATTCGCATATTTTCCAAGGCCCATATAAACATGTTTAATATAAACAACCTACTAAAATACTTAAGGTTTAAACAACAATATAAAAATTAAAATTAACTGTCTTCCACGTCCCTGCTGCAAGACGTGTCGAGGATAACGATGCCTCTTATGTACAGGAGGCCTTTACACGAGAGGCGTAGACATCATAAAGGTTTTAACCAGATTTCTAGGTCATCATCATTATCAGCCCACACGTGGCCAGTACTGAGCAAACGCCTCTCCTCACACAGATATGGTTTGAGCATTAATCACCACGCTTGCTCAAGGCGGATTGGCAATTTCAAACTTATTATTAGAAATTATAAGTCCAAGTTTCCTCGCGAAGTTTTCCATCACCGTATGCCACAAATAATCTTAGAGAGTACATATACTCGACAAAGTCACATTGGTACTTGCCAGGTTTCATGCCCTCATGCACGATAAGTGGGCGACAATACCATATCTAGGTGAAAGCTTTTAATTGGTTTGTTATACTTTTCAGTGAAATCGGATTGTCATACTGCACAAGACAAGTATGATGAACGAGAACGCAATGGGGAGTTGGGGGCTCTTGAGCAGAGGCCGCTCTGTGACGGGAAGGGCAAGTTCTACAAATACGAGTGTGTCCCAGCACAAACGTACGTAAACACAATAATAAAAAAGGCATATATGTTACGGCCGAGTTGAGAACCATCCTCTTTTTTGGAAGTCGGTTAATAAAGGAGTTTTTTATGTGATAGATCGGCAAACGAGTAGTGGGATTACCTGATGGTAATCAATCAGCGCCGCTCATGTACACTTGTATCACCAATGGTGTTACTACAAGTTCGTTGCCGGCCTCTTGTGGGTTATAAGGGATTTAAGGATTAGGGATTTGAGGATTGAGGATGGGGGTATTGGGCCTGCGGTAACATCACGAACACGGCGAAATACGTAACGAAGATAACGTAAGTATTGCTTCATGTCTATTTGCTGTGAAGCTGTGGTCCCATTCGTGCCGAACGATGGCTCTTCCACACTTGATTATAGCAATCGACGCCGTGCCTGGATACCCAAAAACTTCAGAAGAGATATGTGCATAGCTAACTTTTGGGAGTAGCGTAGTAGAGCCTTCTTTAACCTCATTCTTAGGTCAAAACACAACGCAAACATTTTCACGTCGAGTTCGCTAAAATAGTTACGCAAATATGTGTATTCTGCGCACCTTGATGAGGTAAGGGTCTTATTTGAAGAAATAATAATTTTGGTTTCTGTTGCAGCTGTTACTGTCAATCAGATGATGGTAGAAGACTGTTCGGTGAAGTGCTCAACCGTGGAGCAATTACGGAGAAGACTATGCACTGTGGTCAGTATATTTTATTGAGTATTATGTTTTTAACAAAACCTGGTAATTGATTAGCACCGCCCAAAACACCAGAGGCGTTGTGAGTGCGTTGCTTGCCTTTTGGGGTTAGTTCTTTGGAGATTTAGGGACGGGGGAGGGGAAGGGTGGGTCTTCCAGTTATGTCTCTTACATGGTGAAACACAACGTGTTATCACGCGTCAATATTCTGTAAAGCCGTGGTATCACGCATCACTTAAATGCTAGGACGCTGATTCCCCCGTTTAGGAGATATTAAAGTCATATTTCAATACTTCAAGATATTTGTAGTCAGTAGAGATCCAATGCTGAGCTTCCAACTTAACAACATAATCTTATTTCATTCCAGGATGCTCCAGATTCCACGATCTTATTAAGTCAACTATTAGCAGCGCTGTGCCACGCTCCATCGTGGGTCCGCGGTGCACCCCAGACGGCAACTTCTTCCCAATTCGTTGCATAAGGAATATTTGCTACTGCGTCGATATATACACAGGGATCATAAAAAAAGATAGCCCTACCATTGATCTGGAGAGGCAAAGTATTACGCAACTTTCTTGCTGTAAGTAATCATCACTAATCATCTTCAGCCTATAAGTGCCCACTGTTGAGCAAAGGCCTCTTCTCATACGGAGAAGGTTAGAGCATTGATCACCACGCTTGCTCAATGCGGGTTGGCGATTTCATACTTATAATAAGAAATTATAAGTCCAGTCTCACGATGTTTACCTTCACCGTATGTCAGTGGTGTCTAAATAATCATAGAAAGTACATATAACTCAGGATAAGTCACATTGGTACTTGCCAGGTTTTGAACCCACACCCTCATGCATGAGAAGCGGGCTCCTTAACCTCCGGGCCACCACGACATTATACTTATATCAATAAACTTTATGATAATACTGTCCTGTGTGGTAGTGTCAGACTCTTACTGACTAAAAACCAATCCATTTTTTCTTTGCTGGCTGCGGCTGCGGTATCCTACTGCACTTGCGTCCGAAGCCCTACAGAGCATTTTTACATTTTTCGCGATTGAGATTACCGTCAAATAAGCTTTAGGAGCAGGATCGGATCCCCAGTAACTACCCGATTGTTTAATTCCGGTTGTCTCAGACCATGACATCACTCCAGTCGAGGTATATCATTCGTCCCGGAGCGTGGCTCGCCCGCAATTGATATCTGTAAGAGGTTTGATAATAAAGCCCGGATAAAAGTCAAAGTTTCTTAATTTTACTTGTAATATATAATAAGAGTATATAAAACTTCTTATATAGAGATAAATAAGAGTTAAGTTGGATACAGAGAGAAAGAGGTGGTCCCTTGAAGCAGCAACTATTGAAACTGCTACGGTTGCGTTCTAATATTTCTTGCAATGTCGTAACGTATGTGTGTGTTTTTTCAGACGATGAAGACTTAGACTTGTTCCCTGAGAACGCCAAAGAAGAACCGTATTCCTTCACATCACCATGTCTAATAACACAAGACTCGAGAGCAACAGATGTACTCGAAACAGAAAAGGATGATTTTATCCTTGACTTCTTTGGTGGCTTTCCTGAATGTCTCCCAGACTGGACATATGGAAGAATAGCGCTTAATAGTGCTGGACAGTAAGTTTATGGTATTCTACATTCTTGCATCATTGTCATCTTCATCAGCTTGTGAATGTTGTATGGTGTTCTAAGAAGAACTTACGACTGACAAGGTAGCTCTTTGAGGCCCGTAGCCGTCAGACCATTGTAGAATACTAGTAGCTATGCTCTTTCACCCGCTATTAGTCGCAGCGTGATAGTTTTGCCCGCTGCTCAGCTCCATTTTATTGTAGCGTGATGTTTTATATTAATAGCCTATAGCACTTAAACAACATTGTAGCTATCTATCAGTGAAAAAGTTCCAAAGATTACCCCCTACATACAAACTTACAAACATACAAACTTGCAAACTTACAAATTTTACCTCTTTATAATATTAGTATAGATAACCTGCCTTGATATAAATTGTTGTTTGAATAAATTGTTCAATTCGAACAAGTAATTACGGAGATTATCGCGTTTCAATAACGATAAATCTGTTTTATAATATTTGTATTCTTCTAATTTTGTAAGGTACTCCTGTGGTACCAGGTTCACTGTGTCCGCTCCAGCCTGATCCATTTTTTCATTCAGAAATGTGCAGGATTGCTGGTAAATAATGATGCGACCAACGATTGAGCATGCATACCCATATGGACCCGGGTACGTCCTTAAACTGCGACCAGACACCGAGGAGTGGGCAGCAGCATTCCATTCATATATCGGTGACCCAACTGCGATCCCCAAGCCGCCTGCCAAGCGTGGGGATTATGGCAACCCCCCCCCCCTCCCCCTTTTACATGATCGACGCAACAAGCACACGGCCCCCAGTCCCCGGCAGCTCCACTATTCCTGGTCTAGGTAGCGGATCAGGTAACGGCGGAGCAGGGGGTGCTAAGAATCCCCGGCAGAGGAATCGCTACCACCCCCGACGAACTTTGGCCCTGGCAACACATAACATCCGCACACTGAGGACCGATGAGAAGATTGTTGAGCTGGAGGAAGAATTGAGAAAAATGCGTTGGGACATCTTGGAACTGTCCGAAATCCGAAGAGAGGGCCAGGATACGATAGTCCTAGATTCCGGAAACATGCTCTTCTTCCGGGAAGGAGAACGAAAATCCCAGGGTGGTGTCAGATTTCTCGTCCACAAGTCCCTCATCAACAGCGTGAGCAGAGTCGACAGTGTGTCGAGCAGGGTAGCGTACCTTATACTCAGAATAACAAATCGGTATTCGCTGAAGGTCATACAGGTATACGCGCCGACCTCGACGCATTGCGACGATGAGGTGGAGGTTCTGTATGAGGAAATATCTCAAGCCATACACACCTCTAAAGCTCACTTTACCGTTGTGATGGGAGACTTCAACGCAAAGGTGAGCATACGGAATGGCGATGAGTTGAAAGTGGGGCCATTTGGATGTGGGCAGTGAAATCATCGGGGACAGCGCCTGGTAGACTTTATGGAGAGGGAGAGTCTCTATCTAATGAACTCCTTCTTCAAGAAGCGACCGGCCAGGAGGTGGACCTGGATAAGCCCCGATGGGACTACAAAAAATGAGATCGACTTCATTATGGCGACCGACAAGCGTATATTCAGTGATGTCTCTGTAATTGCTAAAGTGAAAACCGGTAGCGATCACCGAATTGTCAGGGGCATACTGAATATTAATGTCAAGCTGGAAAGGTCACGCCTGGTTAAGTCGACACTCCGTCCTTGCCGCGCTCGAATTCAGAACCCCGAAGCCTTTCAACTCCAACTCCATAATCGCTTCCAGTGCCTTACCGATTGCGAAACCGTGGACGAAATAAATAATGGGTTGGTGGAAACTGTCCGAGCAGTGGGGTCGAAATTCTTTAAGACCTCACGCCGAAACAAGCCTCAAAAGCTCTCGAACGGAACATTAAAGCTCCTGAAGCACCGAAATGAAATGAGACTACAGTCTTCAGCCGATATGTCAGAGTACGGTAACCTCAATAGGCGAATTTCAAAAGCCATGCGACGCGATTTGCGTGCATACAATACTGCCCGAATTAAGGAGGCCATCGAGCGAAACCAGGGCACAAAAGTCTTCGCAAAAAAATCGTCTATTGGGCAAAGCCAAATAACGAGGCTGAAGACCGATAATAATAATGGTAGCATAATTTCATCGAAATCGGAGATTCTGAGAGAGCTCGAGAGGTTCTACGGACAGTTGTATACCTCAACACGGCGACCCATTGTCGGTGCAGCTCGGGACCCAAGAGCTAAGCTGACACGACACTACACTGAGGATATCCCAGACATCAGCCTGTACGAGATTAGGATGGCTCTCAAGCAGCTTAAAAACAACAAGGCACCGGGCGATGACGGAATCACAACAGAACTTCTGCGAGCGGGTGGGAAACCGATACTTTTAGTCCTCCAAAAGTTATTTAATTCCGTCATACTCGAAGGTAGTACGCCCGAATCATGGCAAAGAAGTGTTGTAGTTCTGTTCTTCAAAAAGGGAGATAGCACTTTGTTGAAAAACTACAGACCTATTTCACTTCTGAGTCATGTGTACAAGCTGTTCTCGAGGGTCATCACGAACCGTCTCGAACGCAGGCTCGATGACTTCCAGCCTTCCGAACAAGCCGGGTTCCGGAAAGGCTTTAGCACCATAGACCACATACATACGCTTCGCCAGATTATACAAAAGACAGAGGAGTATAATCAGCCATTGTGTCTAGCGTTTGTGGACTATGAGAAAGCCTTCGATTCGATCGAAACCTGGGCAGTGCTGCAGTCTCTCCAGCGATGCCATGTCGACTGTAGATACGTCGACGTGCTTAGGTGTTTGTACAGAAACGCCACCATGCTCATTCGGCTCCAGGACGACTGCACAAAACCAATCCAATTGCAGAAAGGCGTGAGGCAGGGAGACGTTATTTCTCCGAAACTGTTCACGAACGCATTGGAGGACGTTTTCAAGCTCTTGAACTGGAGTGGCTTCGGCATCAATATCAATGGCGAATACATAACTCACCTGCGCTTCGCCGATGATATAATCGTTTTGGCAGAGTCGTTGGAGGACCTGAACACCATGCTCATCGACCTTGATGTCGTTTCCCAACAGGTGGGTCTGAAAATGAACATGGACAAGACGAAAATCATGTCTAATGTCCATGTTGCACCTGTACCGGTCATTGTTGGGAACGACATCCTTGAAGTTGTTGACCATTACACATACCTTGGTCAGATCATTCAGCTAGGTAGGTCCAACTTCGAGAAAGAGGTCGCCCGAAGAATCCAACTCGGATGGGCGGCGTTCGGGAAGTTACACGATGTCTTCTCATCGAAAATCCCACAGTGCCTGAAGACCAGGATGTTTAACCAGTGTGTGTTGCCGGTGATGACGTATGGTACTGAGACGTGGTCCTTAACTTCTGGCCTTCTTTCTAAACTCAGCGTCGCTCAGCGCGCGATGGAACGGGCTATGCTCGGGGTCTCTTTGCGCGACAAAATCCGAAATGTGGAAATTCGCCAAAGAACCAAAGTCACCGACATGGCTCGTAAAATCTGCAGGCTAAAGTGGCAATGGGCAGGCCACGTCGCTCGAAAGACGGACGGTCGATGGGCCCGAAAAGTCCTAGAGTGAAGACCAAGGACCGGAAAACGTAGTGTGGGCAGGCCTCCCACTAGGTGGACCGACGACATCGTCAGAGTCGCGGGGAGCCAATGGATGCAGGTGGCAACTTGTCGTTCGACGTGGAGAGCCAAGGGGGAGGCCTTTGTCCAGCAGTGGACGTCTTCCGGCTGATGATGATGATGATGACCCATAAGCAAACTATTCACTCGGGACAAAAAAACAATCAGGTTCAGGGGAACACAAACTCCAGTAAAGAAATTCACCTCTAAGTGGTCCTGATAATAAAACTGACGTTTTGCCTTTTGCGATGGTACGGTGGTGGAAAGAACTAAGGGGAATTAAGTCTCGAACACTCTTCAAAATGTATCCGATAAAAAAACTTAAAGGCAACGTTCTAGGCTTTGAAGTCGAGACTCCAGGTAGCGCATCGTCGTGGATGAGCTTCTTGGCACGCCTCTCATTGTGTTCCAATGCGTCCCGTTGGTGTGCCGAGCCAACCTAAAAGATGTTGGTGATCCTTTGAGGAATAGAATTCTATAATGGTCGTGCTATAATGGTGTTTGTGTTTTACAGAAAAGTCTGCGTAGACGAACGAGGAAAACAAATTGAGAATTACCATGCTGATAAGAAAACGGATCCTGTCGCCTACAGTAATATGGATTGCAGTGAGTATCATAAAATTTATGGATAGTACAGAACATCGGCGAGAAAAAAATGGAGGTTACCGGAGTTTGGTTTCCCCCCCTTGCCCCTCCTCATCAAATACCTTACCCCCAAAAGGCCAGCAACGCCGCAGCAACTGTGGTGTTGCGGGTATCCATGGGTGCGGTTAGCTTTCATCTCATTAAAAAAGCACACATGCAATAATATTTTTTGTGAAGGGATTATTTTTCATGAAATGACTTCTCTCGGTATAGCCCCGGAGTATGGCATGATGTCAGAGAAGAATTAATGGTCCTCATACCAATAATAACTTAGAAGTCGAAAAAGCTACATATTTATCACAGTTTGAGTATCAGATTTCTCTAGTAGCTAATCCTCAAGCAGCAACCTATGGGGTTGGGAATAGTTAATGGATTGGGCCTCCGATAACCTCACTCTAACGGCGACACAGAACCCAAGCGTGTAGGTATGTGTCGTGTGTGATGCCGTGGTGTCACTCTAGAGACAGCCCGTTGGCGCCAAAACATGGCTGATGAACTGATAATAAGGCATTTGTGTTTATTAATTTACTTTTGATAATTTTTCGCAGAATGTGCGCAGACAACCAGTATTATGGGTTCTCTGCCTGAGAAGCCGATTTGTTGCAAGAACGGCAACTTTAGGAGGATACAATGTCGCAGGGGTATGTGCCGATGCGTTGATTCCAATGGAAAGCAGATTGAGAAAGAACAAGCTGATGTGACAAAACTTAGTTGCTACAAGCCTGATTGGAAAATTTGTTAAGCTGCACGACATAGTATAAAACAAAGTCGCTTTCTCTGTCCCTATATCCCTATGTACCTACGCTTAAATTTGGAAAAATACGCAACGGTTTTTTTGCGTTTTTATTTTAGAAAGAGGGATTGAAGAGGAAGGTTTATATGTATAATAACATCCTTTAAATTGTGTAGAAATTTTGTATCTGCATTGCGCCCGTGCGAAACCGGACAGATTGGTAGTTATAAGATTATTGCCCGGTTTCCGAAAGCCCGATCAAAAATTAACTAACTAGGTGTCAACTCATCTGATTGGTTGTTGATAATTCAGTCAACCAATCAGATGACTTGACAAGAGATTAAATTGATTTTAACATTGATCGGCCTTTCGGAAACCGGGTGTTAGTGTCACAATGTCTGTTTAAATTTCTGTCAGCATATTATTCTGAATGTATAACATTTTTATAATTATTTAGAAACCGAATGAGTAATAGAAGATAATCAGACAATGTGACACAGACATCAAGAATCTTTTTTTACAGTTTTGTATTTTATACGTAATAAAGTAAATTATGAGTTACACTAATGGCCTATTATTTTTATTATTATTTTTCGTACAGGCTCTATTTACTTTTTCCCCTATAATAGAGGAAAAAGTTTATATTTAAAATTCAAGGCTAAAGGCAACGGGCTAGCTGTTCTAGCAACGGTAAGACTCCTCTTTAACGAGTGAGTTAAGAGACGCCACGGCGTCCTCACCTTCCGCCTGACGCAGGTGCTTACCGGACACGGCAGTTTCGGTAGGTTCCTATTTCGGGTCCAGCGGGAGGAAAGGCCCGAGTGTCGTCATTGTGCGGATCATCGAGTAGGACACGGTAGAGCATACGGTGGCGGTGTGCACTGCTTGGGCTGAGCATCGCCGTGTCCTCGGGGAAGTGATCGGCGGCGGCGATCTCTCGCGCCTGGCCTTAGTTGAGGCCATGGTTCGTAGCGAGAGGAACTGGGAAGAACTGTTTCCTCTTTCTGCGAAGCAGTGATGCTCGCAAAGGCAGAGGAGGACCGTGTGAGGGAACTATCCTCCTCGCGCCCCAGCCGCCGCAGTAGGCGACATTTCGGGCGTCGGGTATCGAGAGATGATCTCGGGCCACCCTAAGCGCGGGTCTGTCAACGGCGAGTAAGGGTAGCTCGCCGCCCGACCAGAATCAGACTCGAGCGTACAGCGCATAGCGTCCCGCGCGCACCTCAAAGAGCCAATAGACCACCACAGACGGGGCCCTATATGGCTGATGTTCCACAACGAAGCACCGCGGCCATGGCCCAGAGCAGGAGCAGGAACGGGACGGTTTTTAGTCAGTACACTCAGAATACAAAACAAACCTGTATTCTGAGTCAGTAAAAGTCTTACAGTTTCTCTCGCCTTACCCCGGGCGGGAGAAGTAATTTGATGATTTTCCCCTGACAAAAAAAGGCAAAGGCATAGAATTGGCTACTTTTCGAATAACGCTACGCGCCGTATGCTCGGGACGGGACAGTGGTGCATTTATAGTCTTTATATCACGACTCAGGCTGTCCTTAGGTCACGGAAATGTCAAATTAGGAATCAAACGTACAAAATAGGTATGCTATCGCGGACTGTATGCAGGTATGTAAGTACTTTGTAGTATACAGGAATTAAGTCGAAGCTATCGGGTTTTTGATATTAATTCTTTTGACGGTAATTGATCAGCAAAAACCCGGTACCTAGTCCCCATTTGATAAATCTTAAATATCTACATAAGCAACAAGCCAACTAAATAATAAAATTAACTAAAATACCTATGTACGCATGTTTAAATCTTTAAAACTACGATACGGATTTTGGTGCAGTTTTTTTTGTATAGATAGAGAATTTTATGTATGTATATGTATAATAACACCATATTTTTTTATCTTTATTTTATAAAAACACCATTAAATTGTGAAATAGTTAAGAAGCATTGGACCCTTGCGAAGCTGGGGCGGGAATTATTTTAATCTGGCTACTCCAAAGCCGAGCTGGTCGCCCCAATCTCGCTCGGTTACACGAATTAAGACGTCGAAGGTTACCAACCTACAGGAAAATAGTTTCTATTTCTGAACGAAAAAAGAAATTCACCTATTGATTGATTGGAGAATGAGATTATATCTCAAATATAACAGTACAATAACGCGATAATTTTAAAAAAAAATCAATTCTACAAATATATGTAACATTAAAAACAGTATTTATTAATTTTGGCTGTTAAATCTGACTATTTTACACGACTGCCCCTAAAATGGTCACTTTATGACTTATTTTCGTTTGATAATATGTATTAGGTAGCTATAGAGCAAAAATACTTTCAAATAAGCAAATAGTATTTAATTTAGGAGTCTGTTGGAGAAGGATAACCTTAGATGTCAGAAAAAACATTGAAATGTCATATCGCGGCTTATTGTATCTGTGGAAGATTGTTGAAAGTAAATGTTTTTTTCTTGAATTTTATTTGTTCAGTAGTTCTTGCGGTGGATTTAGCAAATAATTTTGAATCGAAAATAGCCAGTGGATATGTGATTTGACATTTAAATAAACTGCCGGTCAATTAGCTTTTATATTTTTGTAATGTTCACGGATCGGCGTTATAGGTTATAATACATTCGTCATCAATCTATCACCTGGTTATGCCAAACTTATTTTTAGCTACTAAAAAGGCTAAAACGAGGCTGTGTTAATAGTTAAAAGTGTTCTTTAATAAACCGACTTGATATTTGAAGTGATAAAGTCAAGAAAATGGGTCTTATTATATCAAGATTTCGCGTAAGTATATTTGAATTTGATTGATTTTTACATATGTTTTGTAATAGAGCCAAAACTATTTCGAAACGTTTGGAATATTCTTTTGGCGGCAACTCAAATGTTTGCCCGTGACCCGAGGGTTTTATAAATGGGTTTATTCAGGCATAGAATCATATCTAGGCATGATTGTTCTTCATTATTTCGTAGGTGACTTTCACTAATTTTTAAACACTGAACTTTCGTTAAGTTTATCATTCATTCCTTCATAAATTCACTGCTGGACATGGAAAACGGCACTGCTAACTGCAATGGACATCTAAAATTGGTAATTTAGAAATGAAAACTAAAATAAATCTGATGTTTTCATGTTGAGAACCAAAGTTAAGGTTTGCCAAAATATTACTTTAATGAAGCTTAAATTAGGGTACCTTGCTGAAAATTATACTGTGAATAAGTCAGTAGTTTGGTACTAATAAGGCTAATTTAAATTCTAACAAACATATTATAATTTCATATTAAACTTGCAAGAAAGTCATACTATTCACAATAGCAAATGGCAAAATTACTAACACATTCTGCCTAATTACATTGTTGATGAATAAATAAAATGCTTTATTATCAAACACCTAACTTGAAATTTAAAAATCATACATTCATATAAAAGTAATCTTCAAATCATCATTAAAGAAATTAACTTGTATTTTAAATAATTTCTTTTAATGTATACTTGGTGTATAAATTAACAGCCAGTCTTAAAATTACTTATATTTGAATTGAGTTTTTAATCTGTTCAATGCCTTGGCAATTAAAAACTGTTTTATTGTAATCATATTTAAATTATTTGCTGGACATTATTTTCTCTTTCATAGTGTCAGTGACTGAGTTTGATCTTTGCCATTAAAGCCTTATTGTAATTATATTGTCACTCAACCTTATTAGAACACTATAACATTCTTAAATTACTCTGATTACCCTAATACGCCAAAATGAATATCCAAATGTTGCCATTAGCTGTATGGTAATTTAGCCAGAGTTGCAGGGCAAGGGCTATAAGCCACTACTGTTTCCGACTAGAGCAGGGGTTTTTAGTCAGTAAGAGTCTGACACTCCTTGCCCCACTTGATGATTTCCCCTCACAAAAGCATTTCTAGTTATAAATTCTGTCAAAGAATTATGACTAAGAATGATATAGAAATTTTGGAATGCTACACCAAGACCTTTTAAGGTTTGTTTTATATATTTCTGAATGTGGTCGCTTGATACTGGCAGTATAGATAGATTCAGTTGTATAGACTCAGACTGAATAGATTCAGACTTATTTTTATAAATTTAATATTGATCTGCATCACTGTTTTCCTAGCCACTCCACACCAAAATATTATAAAATTAGGTATAATTATTGTACCCCGATTTCAATAAAACAAATTTATATTAATCAATGTGAATTTAGAATTTAGTTGAAATGCCACAAAAAATAATAAAGAACCTTGAAAGGCATTGGCTGATGTCACAAAAAATAATAAAGGAGCTTGATAGGCATTGGCTGCCGCGCAATGTGTTGCCGGTGCGATACCCTCACGGAACAACTCTGTGTAATCCACAAATTGTTGTTCTGAATCTGGGTGATGTTAATGCGAAATGGTATGTTTGTTTGTAAACGCACCCACAACACAGGAGAAAATCTTAGGGTGGGGCAACATTTCTATAAAAATATATGAAATGTTATGTATGATTAACTAACTTTAATTAATATTATGAACATTTTACCAAGCTCGTTTTGGTATTAGTAAATACTGATTGCGATTTCATCATAGATAACAAAAGCATTTTATTAAAATGCTTATCTGCTTACATGAAAGTGAATATTAAAGGATGATAATAAGTATCTATACTAATATAAAAAAGAGGTAAAATTTGTAAGTTTGTATGTAGGGGGTAATCTTTCGAACTGATGGTCGGATTTCCAAAATTCTTTCACTGATAGATGGCTACAATGTTCCTGAGTGCTATAGGCTATAAAACTTCACGCTACGACTAAGTTGAGCTGAGTGTGAGAGTAGCTAGTTTTTGATATTTTTATGGAAATAGACTTTGTTTCTGTTACATTGGACTTATAATTCTGTTTTTAGTCATATTCTTCAAATAGACCGAAACATAAAAAAATTTAATTGAGCTATTTCCAATAGAGAAATAGTGCATTCAAATCTGTACAGTAGTTTCAAAGCCTATTAGATACAACAAACAATAAACTCTTTCCACATAATCAATTTCATTCTTGTTTTTAACTTTCCTAGTTCAGGTAATATTTTGCCTCTAACTCGGCACATTTTACAGCCGGGGTTGCGGGTTAAGCACAATGAGGCACCGCGACCTCGGCCCAGAGCAGGAGCATGGGCGGTAAAAGTCATTTGATGACTTTCCCTCACAAAAAAAACCTTGGCACATTTATGGGATCGGAGTATATTGAAGCAGGCTTAGCTACTAAATTTGTTTTTTTACCTTTTCTGTTCCATTTTTTTTTGTGTTTATAAACAAACAGAAGGTCTTTTGTTTTATCCTATTACAGGGTTATATCACATTACTTCCTATTCAGTACTTTAAGAGTATTAAATAAAATAATCTGATAGCTATGTTGACCTTGTTAGAAAGGAAAAATATCTAAAGTTTCATAGTAATATGAGTAGGCAAATCCGTTTACTTTAAATGGAATAAAGCGACTCGACTGTATGTGGTGCCGTTTGAGCATTCATAATTCACGCTTGCTCATTAGGCAGATGATGTTTTTAGATATGTGATCTAAAATCTATACTAATATTATGAAGAGGTAAAATTTCTAAGTTTGTATGTAGGGGGTAATCTTTGGAACCGCTGGTCGGCTTGCTAAAATTCTTTCACTGATAGATACCTACAATGTTCCTGAGTGCTATAGGCTATAAAACATCAACCTACGACCAGAAGCAGCCGAGCAGCGCGGCAGTGGTTAGTTATTTAAAAATTCAAAGTCCAGGTTTTATCGACGTTTTGGATGTTTTTCTTCATCATATGCCAGTGGTGTCTAAGAAACTAAGATACATATAACTTGGGAAGATTTTAAAGAATCTCTTCACGTCTGCCACCAGGGTACGAAAAATGAACAGAAATGAACGAACGAAAGCAGTTTGCGATTCAATTGCCGACTTGATTTGGCGTCAACCTAAACTGGATAGCTTTAATGACATCGTGGAATGAAATAGCATACAAGTTTATTTTAGGTCGTCAATTGAATCGCAAAAGAGTTTTTAGTAGCCCTCCGCAACTTTTTTTGTCACACTGAAACGTTTTTTTTTTAAGAAGCCCTGTCTTTGGTTCAGGTATTTCATATACTAAATTTAACGAACTTCGAAGACTATACAGCATGTATTTATTATTCAAGAATAAATAATGAGTGCAAAACAATGTTTGATCGTGGCCTCAACGTTATTATGCATTGTTTTCATTAACACTTTAGGTGTATCCTTGGCAGTGTGCGTTGATTAAAGCGGTTTGAACTTGGAGAATGTTAATTTTGTATAACTTTGGTATAATTTGCTTTACTAGTCGTGGTGGAGGTTAAGGCGCCTGCTTCTCATGCATGAGGGTGCTGGTGCGAAACCTGGTACCAATGTGACTTTTCAGAGTTATATGTACTATATATGGTAATTCAGACAACAAGAATACAGTGAAGGAGATCATCGCGAGGAAACCTGGATTTAAAATTTATAATTATTATTATAAGATTGAAATCGCCAATCCGCCTTGAGCAAGCGTGGTGGTAAATGCTGAAACTTTCTCCGTGTGCGAAGAGGCCTTTGCTGAGCAGTGGGCATTCATGGGCTGATGATGATGTGGTACTTTGAATTGGACTTCAAACGAGAAAGAGTTTTGGTAGTCACTATCATAGACTATCCTAAATTGGACTATTTGGTATTCCATATTTGTAAAATAAGTTCGCCCTCGCTGTGGGTCAGTACACCCGATCGTGAAATACATTTGTATCTTTGAGCTTCTTTTTAAATATGTTTACTGTTTATAATGTGAAAAGATATAAAATGGGTATGGTAATTAGGTAAGGGATTCCGAATTGGGAAATGATCAATTTACCAATAAGTATTCTGTGTGCCAATAAAATTCAGACCCCACTCATTATTCCTCGCGGCAAATAAAACCCGCAAAAGATATCGCCTTCTAGTAGCCGGTAATTTGATATCTAGTGTTGTAGTAGTCTAACTAAACATTGATCCAAATTCTATATACGTATTAAAATAAATCAATGTCGGATGTCTCGACATGTTTACCTACTTAAATATATTTTTTATAACATCTGCGTCGATTTGATGTCACTCTCCAGACATCTGTCTCATTTTATATTTTAATATCTGATTGAAATACCTAAGTACGTATCCTACCGTACCTATCTGTTTGGATTCGTTTTTAAAATTTATTTGAAGTAACATTTTATGAAAGGTCCTATCATTTTGGGGTTACTTGGGGTCGGCATAATGTCTTCTTTATTCATTGTTATCAGAAGTTAGCATAATACAATCTCTTTTAAATCTTTCCTCACACAATCTCCTTCCAATTTTTTTCCTCCTTCCTTTAATTATTTTTTGTGAGGGGAAAATCATCAAATGACTTCTCCCGCCCAGGGACGGGCAGGAGGGAGTGTCAGACTCTTACTGACTAAAAACCCCCTGTTCCTTCTCCTGCTCTGTGCCGAGGTCGCGGTGCCTCATTGCGCTTACCCCGCAACCCCGGCTGATTCGTAATAAACTCAGTACTGCTATTGTTCTCATATACGACACTAAATATGCGTTGACTTACTCCCCAAGCAACATGAGATACTGCATACCGTATTCCAAGAAGCTATCTCGTAAGCAGTTGCTTTTGCGGTGTAGGGTATCTAGCGGATGACAATTAAATTCCTATCAAACAGATTCTACCGCACGTGCGTCATATATTGCAAATGTGATGCGCTTTTCAAGGTCGTATTTATTTGTTTACGACGAGGTTTTTGTGAGTAAAATTGTTCAATAAAAATGGAGAAGTTTGATGTGATATTTCATTTTGTGATGAGTCATGCTTTATTGAGGTATCGGTAAAAATATTGGGTATTGATGTTTTGGATAGTTTTTCTTTTCGGACGGTTGGTGCTGTGGCCTTTTTTGTGGGAAGTATTATTGATTGGCTCCTCCAGCCCAAAAGAGGTTTTATACTCCTACAATAGATTAAAATCCACCTCATTTCAACATCTATCCTGAGCCAGGCCACATTGTGTCATTGCACGTAAGTAGTTATCTCTATGGTACTATAATATATATATCGATTACCTTCAGTAGGGATGAGAATATTTCTGTTATTAATTAGAAATTGTGTTGTTTGATTGATGATATGATATTATATTGATGAACAACATACGACGTAGGAAATTCCTACAGCACATTGCAGTTTTTCCGCCATTTTTCAAAATTGGCGCCATTTTTGACAGTGACATTTATGAAGATTATCAATGACGTTTTAAAGCTTGAGTATTAGTCTTTGTAATCCTCTTTGGTAACTGCCTTTTGAAACGATTGTGTGATTCTTACGTGATTGGTGTGGGCTGAAAATCTAACAACAGTGACGCATTAACTAATTGCTGATTCAGTACCTAATCGGATTGTGTATGAGATTTACATAATTGGGCTTAAGTAGTTTGGTCTTGAAGTATTTATTTAGGAAAGTACGATGCTCTCTCTTTGGGAAGGTTTAGAACTATACCCTTTTGGTCTCTACCAGGACAGACAATTCTAGACTCCTAATAATTTCTGTAAAGGGCCCAAATTTGACACTTTAAAAGCAGGTGATCGCTCAACCATTGGTCTAAGTAACTGACCTCTTCCTCATTATTAAATTAGGACTTAACAATCATTGTAGTATTTCTCAATATCGTCTTCGTCACCCGCAGATATCCGTGGCCACGGCTTAACGAAGATCTTCCTTTTCAAAGTCAAAATCATTTATTTCAATTAGACCCAAACAGCCACTTTGAACGTCAAACAAAATTTTAAAGACATAAAGTGTCAGTCTGTCGGTCTCTTAGATTTCGATGGAGAAGAATGAGCAAGAAGCTCCATGGTTAGTCTTTTGAAAGCAGTTTCACATAAAGATTCGTTCTAGTCTACGATTTTATTATTAACCGTTCATAAAAAATAATAGTTTATAACAATTACTGTGATTTAATATAACCTTGTATTGGTACACCTGGAATTCTTTATTCAAAATTATGTATCTATTTCAAATAAATATATTATAAAACAGATTTAATCAGCATTACCAACATATTTTGCAAATCATTTTATCTTATCTGTGGGGCAAAGTGTGTTAGGTTTTTTTTTTGTTTTCGTTTTCTTTTTCGATAGTATCATATTTATCTGATTCGTTTCCGTCTTATAGAAATAGATTTTTGTGATCCTGCCCTCTCAATCGTGGTAATTCGTGTGTATTCGTGGTTTGGGTTGCCTGTGTGTGTGTATTTACCTGGGGTTTGATGAATTAAAAAGTAGACTGGAGGTGAAAATCATGTTTCCTAATTTATTTATTTATGCTTTATTGTACACAATGAAATTAATTTGGTACAAAGGCGGACTTACTGCCATATGGCTTTCTCTACCGGTCAACCTTAACTTTTTTTTTTATGTTATAGGTCGGCAAACGAGCAGACCGATTACCTGATGGTAAGCACTCGCAACGGAGGAGTTACGAGTGCGTTGCCGACCTTTTAGGGATTTGGGATTTGGAGATTTAGGGATTGAGGAGGGATTGGGGTAGGGGAAGGATTGGGTCTCCGGTAACTCTCTATTGGGTTATTAGGTTATTCTTCACATCAATTTAACCGAAATTAACGATGTCATTATCCTCGACCGAAAGTTTACAAATCTGTCGACTGAAAAACGAATTATGAGTTTCAAAATTTAATTTTACGATTGCTTTACCTACTAACATGTTGCTACCTGAGAGAAAAATTATTTGTTAAATAAATGTTAAATTTTGGTTTTCTGTCTTGCGAACCACCATGGCTTCGAACGGGTGCTATGCTAATACTGTGTTTCTTCACTATTTGGATGGTTTTATTAGCCTTCCTCTTCAATGACCCTATCTATTAATGAAATCCGCATCAAAATACGTTGTGTACTTTTGAAGATTCGAAGAAAGCCGCTTTCTTTGTCCCTAGGTCCCTACATACGCTTAGTAGGTAAGTACGTAGGGACATAGGGACAAAGAAAGCGACTTTCTTTTATACTTTGTAATAATATCAAATAGCGGTCTCACAATGACATCCCCATCTTAAAGATAAGACGTGAAACATCTATTGCATTCTGTTGGTATTCTTAGTGACTTGCCCTAACCATTATTCGCCACTAGACCATTATTTGCGACCATCAATTGCAAGCACAAAAATGAATCTTAGCTCATATCGGAGCAGCCAGGGTTGCGGGGTAACCGCAAGAATGTACCGTGGCCTCGGCCCGGAGCAGAAGAAAGAACAGGGTTGTTTTAGTCAGTAAGAGTCTGACTCTCCCTCTCGCCCCACCCAGACCGGGAGAAGCCATAATTATGGGCCTCCGGTATCCTCACTCACAACGCGATACATAACGTCAGTGTTGCTTTACGCTGGCTTTCTGTAAGGGCGTGGTATCACTCCAGTCAAGTCGTTCGTGCCGAAGCATAGCTCTCCCACACTTAAGCCTGTTATCTCACAAGATGAAACTAAGATGGCCTACACGTGTTCTGTTATCGTATTACATTGATCTCTTCAATGTCAAATAAATGTGTTGTAACATCTAGATTGGTTTTATCTGAAGATGTGTATTCAATCTCGGCTTTTTTGAGCGTGTATTTTTATCTGTTCGGCTCAAAAAACATTTTTTGTAGGTACTGACTGGTTTGTTCGTTTGTCTCGCTTAAACTCGGGAAAGGCTAAACTTAAAAGTGGCATGTCACACACATAGTCCCGGCTCGGAGCAGAAAGAAGTTTTTAGTCAGAAAGAGTGATACTCCCTCCCGCCCTACCCGTGTTGGGAGAACTTACAAAAATTTGACTCCTTCCGACCTTTAAAAAAGTCATAAAAACACTTTCTCATATTTTACCTAGCTGGCGTTATGGATTAAAATGAATTTATCCATTTTTGCATTCTGTAAGATAGTAAGCTTTTAATTTTCAGTCTTATTTTTACGTAGTTAAAAGTGTATTATCGTTAGAAACCGTTGGTGCTTAAACAAGAAAGATAACTTGGAAGCGATTTGACGTTTTATTTTAATGCTAATAAAGTTTTTATTCGCTTGGTGTGAATGCGTTAGACATGCTCTAATTGTGGTCACTTCAAACTTTCAAGGAAAGTGAACGTTTTTTATTCTTAAACTGTCTCGGTTTAAGAAAGACTGAATATAGTTTCAGATTTAATACTCATATTGAGCCATTGGGCCTTTGCTTAATGGATTTCTGACCTAAATCTTACATACATTATGTAAATTAAAATCCATCGTAAATTGAGATGCCTGCTAAGAAGTAAAAAATACAAAAATGGCGTGTGTGAATGTAGGGGAGCCATGCTTTGTCACGAATGAACCGGCTCGCCCGGGGTATACCACGGCCTAATAGAAAGCAAGCGTGAAACAACGCTAACGTTGTGTTTCGCTTTTTCGTGGCCTGATTTTTTCCTCTTACCAACCCAATCCCCAATGCTAAAAAAGATACGTGGCGCGATTTCATTGGCTGAACGGCTGCTGTTGATCATTGCATAATGTTTTATAGGCTAGTCAATAGCCTTCTTTGATAAATATACTATCCAATACAAAAATAATTGTCTAACTCGAACCAGTAGTTTCGGAGATATGTGTGTTTAAAGAAACAAACTGTTGCCTTCAAAGCATAGATGTGAAATTTTGAATTGATAATGTTTAGTGCTTTTTGAAGCACGGAAATATTTAATCTCAAGTCGTCTAAGATAGACCAATTTTAAAAGATTTCTAAGCAAATACTTAAAGGAAAAAAAGATGTTTATACATTCAGATTTCTCACGACAAAAGTAGGCGAATTGCCCATTACAAATTGTCGCAGACTTTCTTTTCAAATTATTATTAAAGAAATGGAATGAATGATTTCGTTTTGTTCGTATTATCTATGTAGTTTATTACTTAACTGTCACTGTCACTACAGAGTATAAAACTAAGTCGCTTCCCGCTATCTGTCCCTATGTATGCTTTTTTTTGTCAGGGCAAAATTATCAAATGACTTCTCCCGCCCAGGTTCGGGCCGGAGGGAGTGTCAGACTCTTACTGACTAAAAACCCCCCTGTTCCTTCTCCTGCTCTGTGCCGGTGTCCCGGCTGAATCCCTATGTATGCTTGGAGGTTTAAAAACTACATGACAGATTTTGATGCGGTTTTTTGTAAGATATAATGATTCTATATAAACGTCGCTTAGGTGTATTATTTACTAGCTTCCGCCCGTGGTGACGTCCGCGTTGTATGTTCATACTGAAGTACACTGCGAAGGAAAACATCGTGAGGAGACATGGAATTATAACTTCTAATTATAAGCTAGCTGGCTTAATTCTTTTTAAATGGCCAATCCGGTTTCAACATGCGCTGTGATTAAAGCTTTAACCATCACCACTCAGTAGGTAGTAGGTGTCTATAGGCTGATAATGAGACCAAAACGTTGCACATCTTTCTTAATAATATATCTTTAATAAGTAGTTATAAAATATGAAATCACTTCAGAATCATGTAATAAAGTAAATCCAATTTATTTCAAAACATTTCGTCCAGTCGTCACCAGTGCATTTTTCAATTATTTTTAATCCGGCCTTGAATGTATGATTTTAATATGTTCAGAATTAGATTGAGAAAAAATGTCGCAGTTTGGTTTTAAGGTATACATCAATGTTAGTGAAATGATTGTCCAGAACTTAGTATGTAGTTTATGGGTCAAGCGGAATAATATCCCTTGGCCCCGGCTTGAAACCGGAGAAGGAAAAGGAACAGGGTGTTTTTAGTCAGTAAGAGTCTGATAAACTTTCGCACCCAGGCCAGGGTGAGAAAAAATATGTGATGATTTTCTGCCCTCAAAAAAAAGTATTTAGAGAATAATAAAAAAAATGATTCGATGCCTAAGAATACACTACTTATCCTGAAGACGAGAAAAGGAAGCCATTAGTATTTTTTCATAGATCAATAAGCTTGAAAATACGACAAGAGATTACGTAGGAACGTCATACAAAAATATGACATACACAAAAGTTGTATTAAACTTTTGTATCCCACTTATATTTCGAAGGATGAATACTAGACGCTCTACACAAAAAAAAAAAACGAAAATGAATCCAACTTCTTTGATATCACAGTATGAAATTCTACATATTTATCTTCTTTTTTCTTCGACAGCGCAAGAAAACAACGATAGATATCCTCGATCGACTCGAAACTGATATAAAAAGGATAGAAAGAGATGGCCAATATAAAGAACAGACCCATAAAAGGGTCATAGGATACATTATGGCGTATTCCGTCGGTCTTTATGTCCTGTTCGCCATATTATACTATTACATGTACGTCGGGAAGAGCCAGCATTGGATGTATTCTTTGCTCTACGCCTCACCGCTTCTCGTTCTACCAATACTGTGAGTATTTTGTCGTTTTTATATTATAGAAAAGAAAGTTTGTTTGGTGAGGTCTTATGCCTAAATTGTTAGGTTATATTTGATGCAATTCGAGTCGCTGTTAGAAAGATCTTGGATAGTTTATGTTGTTCTTTTCTCTATGAGAAGTTAGTTTTATGCAGAAAAAAGAGTGATTGCGTTTGTGAAAGACATGTGCAGGTGTTTTAAAAGTTGGGTTAAAGTTTTATTTTTATATTAATACATAAAATATATGACAGTCTCAAATTAGACCTGCTGTATGCTACAGTTCAAGATACAAAGTTTAATTTATCAGTGAAAATTAGCCTAGTAAGCTCATAATCGCCATTAAAGAAGATTTAACGACCTCAACACCCCAAAACAGAAGAATGCAAAAACGACATTTCCTTTTCAGAGTAATATTCCTAAGATCAGCAATATCGTGGTACTACAATTGGTCGCTAAACAAGAACAGGATCAAATTATCAAAGATGAGAGAAGAGAAGAAGAAGATATTGGAAGAAGTTATGAATACTGAGACATACAAAGTGAGTTTGAGAGAAGAGTTAATTCTAAATAGGTTTTATACGGTACATTTGACAGTAAGCAATCGTCGCTGCTTATAGACCGCAACATCAAGATATTTGGTGATTTTGGATGGGACAGTCGGATTGGGCCTCCGGTAGGAGTACCAGTAATAGCCGTGGTATTATAACAGTCCAAACCGCCCAATCATTAGTAACACTCTCCCACACTTATTTAAAATGTTCTCTTTTTGTATTTAGATTCATTTTTATTTTTGGGATAGCCATTTATTGATTTCCCGCGCTCTCACGCCGTGAGAGACGGGACCACAAGGTGGTTTTTAGTCAGTAAAAGTCTGACAGTCCCCTTCGTCTCCCCAAGCGCAGGGGCTCAATGACGATTTTCCACCTTGGGGCAAAAAAGGCATTTATTGATACTAGACATGAGGTTTACAGTTCAATTCGATGATCGAAATAAGATATATTCAGTTATAGTGAAAAGCAAACAGTTGTTGTCGTATGAAGAAGTATAAATATGTTTAAGGACCTATCTAGGTAGGTTTTGCAACCAAAACTAACATGTTCAAATTCCATTGCAGGTTGCGAAAGAGATCTTAGATAAATACGGTAGTCCGGAGGATCAATCGAAAGCGCTAAAACCTTTCGTACCATCGACAAATGTGCCCGGTAATACCCCTAGCACGCCGGTCCCAGGTAGTTAGAACTCCTTTTGTATATAATCCTCTCTTTTCACTTTAATAATAAATAAGACCATTTTCGCACTTTCGGCATGGCTCGATTAATTTCGAGCAACACTGGAGCTTATAATTTTTCAATATTCGAGCAAAATCGTACTTGAATACTTCGGCTTAATGTCATGATAATTACTGCATAGAAATAATCCTTTTATCCAATTATATACTTTAGATTAGTAACTTGTTTATATACCTATAGCATTTGTCACTAAGAACTTCACTCTCTTTCCGTCCCTGTCTCACACCCATAACCTTCTTTTTAAAGACTTTAGTAGATATGTTTTATGAACTGCACCAGGTTTATATTGTAATTAACTTTTCGGTGCCTGTAAAAGTCTTTTTTAAATAGTAACTATACTTTTCTCCTTCGATCAGCGACTCCAGGTCAACTGCGACAACGTCAGTTGGCGATGCAGACGTCAACGCCCATCAACAACAACAGGATGTTGGTACCGGTCGTCAACTCGCCCAACTCCGTTTATAAGGGACCTAGACTTAGGGTAAGTAAAGGATATTAAATTTATGCTCGTTGTAAAGTGAAAAAATATGCAGATTCTTCTGTATTTTCTTAAACACTTGGATTGTATTGTATTTAATTTTGTAATGTGGTTAATCTGACTATAACGACTGCATGGTTGTCGCGGTGGTTGGGCAACTAACTACTGCTGACTGGTTCGATGGTCGCACAGAACAACTCTCTGTGTTTGAAAGAAAGAAAGAAAGAAAGAAAAAGTATTTATTCGCGTCTGGGACGCATAAAAGACACAAAACGAACAAGATAATAAAATAAAGTTAAAATAAAAATACATTAAGCATGGTAAAAACAATATCGCAAAAGTAGAGGGTAGGAGAAAAATATGCGTCCAAGCACGTGAAATGGCCCACACTCTCACTGAATCCGTACGAGACGGGGTCGCGGCGCTGATTTTCAGCGATGGCCGACACTAACGCATGACGCCAATCTGTGCAGAAACTTAAGCTAAGTGTTATATACAAATTATTGTTCCGGGTCTGGGTGTAATGTGTTTGTGGAACTGTATGTTTGTAAACGCACCCCCGACACAGGAGAAAATCCTAAAGGGGGCAACGTTATTAAATAAAAAAATACTAATTAATATTTTCACCAAAATAGTGTTTTTCATGCTGCATCTATTCTTTTATTCTAATATTATAAAAAGAGTAAAAGAAATCTATACTAATATAAGAAGGTAAATTTTTGTAAGTTTGTATGTAGGGGGTAATCTTTAGAAAAGCTGGTCGGAATGCCAACATTATTTTACTGATAAATAGCTACAATGTTCCTGAGTGCTATAACTTATGAAGCATCACGCTACGATTTGTGAAACCGCGCTAGAGTGGCTAGTTATTATTTAAGATAAGTATGTAGAAAAAAATCTATTTTTGTAAATCTTACTAAGTTTGTATTTGTATGTATTACAGTCTGATCAACTTCCCCGTCCACTGCCTGAAAGGAACCGCTCTGCATTGGACAAAGTGGTGGACTTCTTGCTGAAGGACGGACCTAACCATCGCATGGCTCTCATCTGTTCTGAGTGCTCTTCTCATAATGGTGAGATACTTTTATTATATTTCGACTACGTGATTGACTGACTGAGTGAATGATTGACTGAGTGAGTGACTGACTAAATGCCAAACTAATTGACTGAATGATTAAATGGATGACTGACATGTCTAAGTGACTGGCCGCATGATTTGGTAACTGATAGCCAGATTGAGTGACTTATTGCCTGACTTAGTGGCGGTCTGCATCACTGGGTGAATGATTTAGTGAGTGAGTGACTAATTGCATTGTTTTGGTAATAAGGTTCACTTTCAGTTTACGTAGCTTGGATAAATGCAAAGAGGTGTTGCTTGAACGGATTTATTTTCACACTATTTTTTATATATTTATTTATTATTGCTTAGAAGGTAAATTTTACATTATAAAAAGTTTAAAATGTCCAACAAAACTGTATACACAGTTTGTCTGTTTGATCAGATTTCTAAACTATTGACTTACTATAGGTTCTATTAAGTTTACAATAATAATAAAATTAATAGTTGTTATTATAATATTACACCGATTTAAAAGGATGGCTTCTTACTCATACTACAATTGCTACCTACACACACATGCATATGTATCGAACATGCATGATTAAGTGGCTGATTGCATTACTGAGTGACAGATTGTCTGACTGAGGGAATGCCACAGTGTTTGCTTGCTGACATAGTGGCTGAAACTTTGTTTTTCGACAGTGTTCTAGGAAACCGTATCGTACCACGTCTCTAGTCACCCACGAGTGATCTGTTAAAAGCATATTACACAATAAAAATAATCGTGCATAAATAAAAAATGCGAATTTTTGATAGTATGGATCGTGAATCCATTTGTATTACACTTAAAAACTACTGAATGGATTTTAAAGTAAATTGGCGTTAAATTACTACGTACATATGTATTAAAAAACCGCATCAAAATCCGTTGCGTGTTTTGTTTTAAATATATTGATAACAACGGCTTATTTTACGTGAGCATGTCGTTATTTTTAATAAATTTAGAGTCTTACGATAGTAACTGTTTAAAAAAAAACTTTGTTTTTTTTTTTGAAAAAAGCGTTGCCCCACACTAGGATTTTCTCCTGTGTCGTGGGTGCGTTTACAAACATACAAATTCACATACACAACACACCCAGACCCGAAACACCAATTTGTGGATGACACAAAGTGTTGTTCCGTGCGGGAATCGAACCCGCGACACGTTGCACAGCAGCCAGTTGCCCAGCCACTGCGCCAACCGTGCAGTCAGTATTACTATGTAGTGATGTTATTTACAGGTATGGCGATGGCTGAAGAGTTTGATTACGTTTCGTACGTATGTGCTTACTGCGGGCGCCTGAACCCGGCTCGCAAGCAGAGGCCAGCCGCCCCACTCCTCGCCGCCAGACCAATACCAGCACTGCCCAACACTTCTATGCCTGGTAATTATTGTTTTTCTCTGTCTTTACGATTGATTGTCTGTCTGTCTGCCCGTATATAGTTGACTTTTGACCTTGTTTATAGTCCTTATAACGATTTTGTTATGTTGTTTGTTTTATGATGTGATCTGATGGTATGCAATTTACGCCATCCATGGACATCACGGGCTGCAACGTCAGAGGGGTTTAGGGGATTTAGAAATTGAAGGGGGAGGGGATATTGAGCGTCCTATAACCAGTTCAAAAAGATGAAAAACAACGTTGAGATTGCCTCACGTTGGGTTTTATGTAAAGCCGTGTATACTACTCTGTCAAGAAAGTACCGGGAAAAAGTCAATAATACACAAAATGTTTGTTATTCATCTAAATTTATTTTATCACCTTCAAAGTATGCTCCTTCAGAAACGATACACTTACGCCAACGAATAATCCAATCATCAAATTTTTTTTTAAACGCTGTTTCCGGAATTGACTTCAGTGCTCGCCGCGAATTCTCCTTTATGTCTTCTAACGATTGAAAACGGGTGCCACGAAGGGGTAATTTGAGTGTGGGAAAAAGAAAGAAGTCGGCTGGAGCCATATCTGGTGAATATGGTGGCTGCTCGATGGTGTTTGTTGAGTGTTTGGACAAAAAATCGTTTACAATGATGGCCTTGTGCGAAGGCGCATTATCGTGATGCAAAATCCAAGAATTTTCTTTCCACATTTCTGGCCCTTTTCGTCGAATTTGTTCTCTTAAACGCCGCATAACGCTCAAATAATATTCTTTATTTACCGTTTGACCTTCGGGCAAGAATTCTGAGTGCACAACACCGCGATAGTCAAAGAAAACAGTCAACATGACTTTGACTGTTGATCGACTTTGACGTGGTTTTTTCGGTTTTGGTTCAGTTGGAAGGCGCCATTCCGAAGCTTGTCGACTAGTTTGCATGTCAAACTCGTAAACCCACGTCTCGTCACCAGTAACAATGCGTTCTAGCATGTCCTCAGCGACTTTCATGCGATTTAGTTTTTGAAGAAAATTCAGGTCTTTTGGGACTAGCCGAGCGGCAACACGTTTCATACCCAAACTATTTGTTAAAATGGTACGGATCGACTCGTGAGATACAGAAAGTTCGGCGGCCATCTCTCTCAAACTTGAATGAGGATTTTCAGTCACTATTTCCTTCACTTTTGCGATGTTAACTTCAGTTGCAGACGTTGATAGCCTACCAGAACGAGGCAAATCTTCCATCACATCTCGACCGCTTTTGAACGCTTTGTACCACTAATAAGCACGTGTTTTTGATAAAGTCGATTCACCGTAAGCCTTCTGTAACATTTTGAGTGCCTCCGAACACGAAATTTCATTGGCGATGCAAAATTTAAGACAAACTCTTTGTTCGATGTTTTTGTCCATTATGAAATTCGCAATACACACTAGATATTATAAAACTAAAAACAGCACTGTTTTTAATATAAATAACAGATGCAACTCAAATTCCGCGCCAAAATGGAAAACAGTTATGCCAATCTAACAACAACGAAAAAAATTAAAATTCGAATTTGGAACCATAAAAAAAACATTCATTCCCGATACTTTGTTGCCTGAATGTATTATTCCGGTCGAGCCGGCCCATTCGTGCTTTAAGCATGGCTCGCCCTTAAACAGTTCATTAATATTATATAATAGTTATATTCCTGTTTTAAACCTTTATTTCATCATCATTGTCATCACAGCTACAAGACATCCAATGCTGACCTAGGCCCCTAATGACTTAGACTCCAATACATTTTATAATTAAATGCATACGATCCATCTGCCTCACATGTTTTCTTTGTGTGGTATCCACAGGTAGTGGGGATGACTCCTCAATAGCTAGCTCGGCAAGCGACAGTGATGATGATAAGCGAGCTGAAACAATGAGGAAACATGGTATGTAAATCATTTTATAAAATAAAATCGGTGATATTTATTAAGGATTGGGAAGGGATCGGGGGAGGGGGAGGGATTGGGCGTCCGGTAACCTCACTCACACGGCGAAACATAGCGCTGTGGTTGTTTCACGCCGGTTTTCTGTGAGGCCGTGGTATCACTCCGGTCCGACCCATTCGTGCCGAAACTTGGCTCTCCCGCACGTATTTACTTGTTTATTTATGTTTGTTATTGTTAAATAAACAAATGAAACTAAGTATTAATATAATAGAGAGTAGACAGTTGCCATGGATTATTGTCTAGAATATTGTCGAGACTGCACGGTAGGCGCGGTGGCTGGGCAACTGGCTGCCGTGCAATGTGTCGCGGGGTCGATTCTCGCTCGAATCAACTTTTGTGTGATCCACAAATTGTTGTTCCGGGTCTGCGTGTAATTTGTAAATTATTGAGCTGGAGAAAACCCTCATGTTGAACAACATTTTTTTTAAACAAGGTGTTTTTTATTTATTGCTTATTTAAAGTTATTTATATGTCGTGACTAGGTTTGTACCGTATAGTAAATAAATACTAGAAAGATGCCTCGAGATGGATTATTGTCTGTAATAACACCTAGGGCACTTTCAACCCGAGAAACTGTAATTTTTACAAGACTTACTAGTTGATCCATACACAGCAATCAGTTACCTAGCCACAATGAAAATTAAAAGGATTGTAATTTCAGGTTTCGAAGGCGACTCGGATCGGCCCCCTTCGTCGGAAGGGTCTCCGAAGCCCGAAAAAGACAAGAAAGAAGACTGAGCAATATTGTCAATTTACAACATTATTTATACGGAAATAGAAGTCACTGCGAGGTAACATAAGTACGGTGTGCTTGATAGGGGAATGTTGATCTTGTTTCATACAAGTTAGAGTTTAAATTTGATTGGCATTATCAGGGTACCTATTGCAAAAAAATACACCTTATGTTGGAATTCTTACTGTGTTTGTCGTGGTATTGAAAAATACACCTTATTACATACAGTTAGAGTTACATTTTAATTGGATTTGCAAGGGTTTTATTGATAGAAAAAATTCATAATGTATCAAGTTGAAAGTTTATTTTAGAGGTATTATGTGGTAGTTGTGATATTCTTTGTGTGGGATAGAAAAAGACATCTTAAGTTATATTGCTATAGAGTTTGTTTTTGATCGTTTTCCTCAAGGGTTTTTGAGACCACTTATCGTAAGCTTAGAAAGAGAGGAAGAAAATAGTTCTTAATTCAATTGTTTTGTTATTATACTTATTGTATGGATCCAAGTAGGCTAATAGGTTTGTCTGAATAACTTGAGCCCTTTAATATAAGTGACGAAAATTGGGGATTACATCTCAAAGACCAGCCCGGAAAAGATTTTAAAATTAAGTGTCGGGAAAAGGTAGTATGTTATAGATAAAATAATTGTAGAGACGTTAAAGACCATTAGAAAAACTAAATAATGTTAAACTTGTAATTTTTCAAATTGGAAATTGAAGAATATACTCCTTTGTACTCAATTTTAAACTCTAACACCGTCATTTTAAAGCAAATATTACCCTGTCAAACACACCGTAAATCTATCATCAATAATATGGCGGGCGGACTAGACGTACAGAACATTATCTGCAATATTTAATTATTATTAATAATAATTTATTTCTCCTATTTATTATTTAATATTAACATTGTAGTCTCGAAAGTTTATTTCATGTCTCGACTAATATTTAAGATGAGATCGGAATGTCAGAAAGTTGGAACGTCAGAACGTCGGAACGTCAGAATTTCAGAATGTGAATGTCAGAACTTCAGAACCTCAGATTGTTGGAACGCCAGACGAAATCATCTCTTACATTTGAATACTCAAACGCTACACAATTTTAAGACGTTGAAAAACATTTCTGTCTCTACAAATCTTTAGGAAATGATAGAGATGGAATGTTACTTAATTGCAACTTTAAATTGGGTAGTTTTTCAGGCGATTAACCATCGTACTCAGAATCACTTTATCGGTTACTTTTACAAGTCATTAGCAATTTGGTTTTGCAACAAAACCGTTACTAAGGAATTGTTTTAGTAATCATTAAATATCCCTGAGTACCTGCGACAGAAAGGTTTGAGTAAATATTAAAGATAAGATAAAAAAGTCGGAACGTCAGACGTAACCGTCTCAGCGAGACGTAATCGTCTGACATTGAGACGTTACGTTCTGACATTATATGGTTAGCACAAAAAGTTTATGATGAGAATATCGGAATTCTGATTTGTTATGTCTTGTTTTCACGGAGCTGCTGGAGCTGGAGGATAGTCTCGAGATCGATTCCCATGTCGGTTAAAGGTTAATTATGATTTTTTCGGAATTGAGTTAGAAGACAAAAATCATGATATTTTTTGTACTGTTCGTCTGTGTATCTCCTCTGAGAGTAAGGTAGGCAAATCAGATTTCTGTAAGCCTCAAGAAAGAATAGCTTTGCAAAGGTACTACTAGAGTTAGCATACAGACGCAGCGGAATCGTTGCGTAACCCCAGCGTTAACGCAGCGACTCAATTTGTTTTCTCACACAGCTGGACACGTATTCTAGTATAAATTTTGAAACTGGTGTTTGTTTGTTTTTGCGTTTTACATCTCTGAAATTGCTGGTCTGACGTTAGGTATATTTTTTTTGAACAAATTATATTGTTTTATCATTGACATTTTTATTTTGAAATTACCTATTTCTTTTTCTGCTCAGATCCTATAAGTTATGCGTGATGTTTCATAGTCAATAATAGCCTCTTGATATATGAACTATCCGATATAAAAAGAATTGCTCAATTCAAACCAGTAATTTCGGAGATTATCGCGCGCAAACAAATTATTCATGCTAATAATTGTAGTATGGTTCACATGAAGCTATCCCCTATGCCTAATATCGATTAAGCATAAAATTGCATTTTTCAAAAATTTTCTAGAATGCTGTGTCCTATTTAGGTTTCTTTAAAACCTTGTTTTGACGTCAGACAATAATTATGTTGAAATAATTGTCATTATTTTTGGTGTTGTGCATAAATTCTTAGTCTAAGGGCGTGTTTCACGACCTTTACATAATGTAAGTACTCGATAAATTTATGTGGCACATAGTTCGTATAAATAACGTTCTTTAACAAAATTTATCTGGTACATAACGTCTATGGAGATGTTGTGAATCAGGCCCTTAATATATATCAATGGATGGATTGAATTCAAAGTCCTGTTAAGGAAAATTAATAAAATGTATTATTGTTCTGTTTTTTTAAATTATATAGCTTAGAATTTGATTATTAGATCTGTCATTTACAATATTCTTATTTGGATTGGAGTTGTGTGTGAAACAAATGAAATAAAATATAATAAACAACACTTCTACATGTCAATATTAAAAATTGAAAAAACTAGATGAAGCCGCCATTTCCTATCTGATTACTCTGAGAAGAAATGTTTTTTTTCACTTGATATAAACTAGTACTTGTCTGCGATCCCACCTGATGGTAAGCAGTGATGCAATAATTGATGGTAAGGCGCACTAGTTTATTAAGGGCTATTCACTCTAGCCTTGAAGACACCTAAATGTCGAATCCAACTCAAAGATGAATTTAGACTTCCTTCTAATACTTCCAATTCGTATTCATGTTACTACACTTTAGTTTATACTGAATAGTTTTTCTCATAGTTATTTTAGCTGTGTTAAAATGGATGCAAATTCGATTCCTTTTGGAAATAAAAGTCATGATGATTGATATCCAATCATAAATTCAATCCATCCATTTAAACCTCCAACGAATAGAAGAGAATAAGCTTTTTACAAACAAACATACAATAATAAAATAATTTTAATAAATAATACAATTTACGTGCCTTGTAACGATAAATTAATTATTGTTATTATTATTAATTTTTGAGTTTCATCCGTAGTAGGTTAAATTTATGTTTTGGAAAACCCAGATAATTTTGTACTAGATACGGTAGTAAATAGGTTTTTGATATGGCAATACTGTATTGAGTTGCCAATATCATAATATCAGCTACCAGAGACTGTAGGGGGCAAAACACAATGATATAACTGCGGCCCTGCTCAGAGCTGGAAAAGGAACGGAGCGATTTTATCTCAGTATGAGAGATACTCCCTCTCACTCCCTCTCCCTCCCTCAAAGGCGGAAGAAGTCATTAAATGATTTGATTATGATGAATACATTATCATCATCATTGCTGAGTAGGGCCTCTACTCACACGAAGAAGGTTTGAGCAAGGATTCGAGATTTCAAACTTATAATAAGAAATTATAAGTCCAAGTTTCCTCACGATGTTTTTCTACCCAGTATATCAGTACATGAGAAATCACGCCACAACTTAAACTTACTTACCTATAAAGTTACTTAGTGGTGATTTTTCAAAGATTGGATAAAAGTTATCTAGGGAATAATTGTGATGCTGTCGCGTCAGAATGTTTACCTATATAAGACAGTGACAGCAACAATTTTATTGCTCAGATAACATTTATATGGCTATTGAAAAATCGGCCCTTATTAAATATCTTGATGGCCTGAGAATTAATAGCTTGGAGATATTATTATGACTTTTATACAAATTTTAATCTATAAAAAGCCGTATCTAGTACATTATGTATCTGTGTACAGTACAACCATACAAACTGCCCCATTGATAGATTCGCTGTAGTAACGTTTAGCTACCATCTATAGTTGTCATCGTATCGTGTCATTATTGGTTTAGCCGTTTCGTAGCTTAGTGTGGGCGTAGTAACGGTAAAGATAATGTTATAATTTAATAAAGTAAATCGTATTGGAAACAGTTATTTTTTGCATTCTGAATAGAGCATAAAAACTTTACTGAATAATATTATTAATGGAATTGTCACGAAAATGCGGATTCTCGTGTTGAGTTTGGGCTTAATAACCTATTAGAATATGAATTAAAATATGCTATTATAATTGGCCGAAGAATTGATCTCTATTGACGACAATATTAGCCATATAATTACGCGGGAATTAACGGTAAAAATAATTATTTAAATACCTTGACGATTCGACTTGGTTAATATAATTAAAATTATTTTTTGGCGTTAATACCCGCGTGATTACATGTTGAAAACATGAAAATTTAAAAGTTTAAGTTTTGCCATGAAATAATACTAAAACAAACACAATGAAATAATCTTCTTAAAAATTTACCTAATTTAATTATAAATAAAATAATTACATCCATGACGTTTTGACAATAATAACGTAAATTCAATTCAATTCAAAATGTAAAAAATAATTGTTTCCAAATAAAATTATATATTTATTGTGCTATTAATAATATAATAGAAGGAATTTGGAAAATAATTTATGATTTCATCGTAAGTAGGTACTCGAATCTTCATAGATTTAGGCTTGAATTTGCAAACGCTACTCAATTTTAAGACGTATAAAATATAAAAATTAATACCAATTTTCTTTGCTATCGTTTTATACTGGAGTCGCTGGATCGATGTTCCTAATATCTTTTTAAATTTAATCACACAGTAAAAACGGGACACCTTTTAAAAATACGCCCTTTTCCGGCCATCTGTCTGTCTATCATAAACAGAGATTAACTAAACAGTTGAGTTTTGGACTGATGATGTAGTTTTGTTGCTATTGTAACAAGAAATTATACTTAATAAGAGCAAAATTATATGTATATTTTAAAATGGATTCCAAAAAGCAAAAGTGATTTTGCTACACCGAATTACTACGTAAATTCGAATTGCATATGGTTTCTTTTTTGATGTTATTGTTTTGATATATAGTTTGTCACTGTTTGAAGGAAGGTTTTTTGCCAGACATATCGGGACAAACAACATTCCCGATGCCTTAGCAGTTTGCTACCTAAACAAATGACTGGAGACCAAGGAAATTGGGACTTATATCTAACCAGTGTTATATGGTCTCGGTTTGAACGATCTCTCAGCACATACATCGGTCAGTTTATACTGGTTTGTAAAACTTGGTGTGTAGTCTTCTATGTAGTAAGTGCAACTTAAAATTGAGTAGCATTCCATTATTCAGGCATTAGCTGAGCGTTATTTATTCAGTTCAACATGGCTGGTACTTAATATAAGTAGGTGTAGCTTATTTATTTTACTAATCCACCAGGGATGTAATAAGGTCGGTATGGGCCCCCATAATGAGGAGCGTATAATGAACGGGCCCCTACAAGATCAACATTTTGCTTCGATTTATTGGTTCATATAAAAGAGCTTTAGCTACTTTTAAAATAAATGCAATAATGTGCCAAACTAACACTCCTTTTCGCACTAAAATCATGACAAATATATTATACATAATTTATTTATTTATTTTTAATGTTTGCCTTATTACGTCCCTGGCTCCAAAGCCTTCCATGTTCCACGTTATATTACAACAACAATAGGAAAAAAATGAATTTAAAAAAACCCCTCAACGAAAATAAGGTTTTTTTATTACTTACTTATATATATGTAATTTCATTAAATTGGAAAAGTTAAGCTTTTTTCTTTTTTCTGTTTAAAACATTGATTTGAACAGGTTTTTTTTTATTTAAGATATGTACTTTTCTTCTTCTTTCTGTAATTTGGTAAGGTTTGATGAATGTTATTGTAGAAATTATAAAATTTTCTCTTTGTTTAGGCATTACATTTCATGTGTTCTTTGTGCGAAAAATTCCATTTTATTTATTAACTGTACTAACAAAACTTTCGTTGACATTTTGAAAATAGCGGTGAGTTTGTTGGTATACTGTCAACTTCATTCATAATAAAAAGCTGCTCAAGTCAATGCTACCAACTTCACACCGCTAAATTCAAAATGGCTTCCTTTAATAGAAGCGTATACTCAAAATGCTTTTTTCTAGTCAAAATACTAATTTGCGTTTCAAAATCAAAGATGATCGCTGCATTTATCTTTAAAGTTGTCAAATATCATACTTTTATGACACCAGAGTTGGAAAGCCGGAATGAAATTAAATGAAAGTTTACAAAATCGTTTTCCAATTGAAAATATTTGACTTTTGTTATGTTTGGTGTAATTTACTGAAAATTATGATAATAATATTGGCAACACCAAATTTTGTAAGCAAATAATATGTTATCATAAATAAACAATTTTGTGATAATGTTTTGCTAACAAAATAATTAGGGTCGAGATGGAACGATTATTTATTTTGTTGAGAGGTTTTCATGATCAAAATGGCGTTACATAAAAAATATAGTTTTTTACGTGTTAACGGACAGTGCAGACACTAGCGTTCTGTCATCTTTTTTTATTGTTTTGTTTCGTAAAAAAGTTCTTTATTAGATCAATCTTAGCCCTTATATAATTGCTGGATTAGGAACAAAACGCGCAGTAATTGATTTTATCTCGACTTTATTTACATGGAACCTAGATTCTGTAAACACGTAAAGGTTTTTTGAAAATGGGTTCCTCCATTATTTAGACATGAAACATTTCTGTAACTCTTGAACATATTAGATAGTATAAACTTTTTTTTTGAAACCCTAGACATTCCCAAGTTAACGTTTTTGGCATTGATAGATTAATTTGTAGCATAAAATAGATTTTATCCATGGAGTTTTTATTTATAAATAAACTAATCATTTATGTTATGTAATGAACGATTCTTATAATTGATAATACAAATTTTTGCACGCAATTAGTAATAGGTGATTATTTTTGTTTGTAAAATGGCTAGATTTTTTTCAGACATTTTTTATATTCGTAATTTAAAGATGGCGTTACTGTGGTATTTTTGCGATACCGGCCATTTATTGATTTCTTAAATAAACAATATAAGCAATAATATTAATCGTAGTCATTTTACAAATAAAAATGTTGTTATTACAAATTTTGAATTCCTATTCTAATCACAAGTTTGACAATATAATGAGTATCAAAACCTCGTAGGTTACCGGTTATGGCGGGAAAATAAAAATGAAAAAGTAGAGTGTTATGGAATGTGAAGAATTCTCATAATATTGTAAATAATGTGAGTCAAGCGAATAGTGTTGTTGAATTTGTTATTTATTGCTTGTAACGTTGATTAGCTATTTTATAATGGAACTAATATACAAGTACCCAGTTATCAGTTGTTTTATTTATTACAGCTTAAAGGTTTGTCCCATTATGGAAATAAATTTTATTGTAATAAATGTATGGACTTGTATGTATGTGAATTAAATGGTTCAATTGTTATTGCGTGCTTATCGTGAAGGAAAAGTACATCGATGCTGATCTAAATGATTTTTGAGTTATATCTAAAACCGCTTTAAACAATACATGGTGGAGCTTATTCCCCAAGTTTATATTTAATTGTCACTGCATTCTATTAAATCGGCTCCCAACAATACCATACAATTTAATAGCATTTCATACAAAAATTAAGAAAAATATCAATTAGGAGATGGTACCGTAAAACGGGGTGAACAGGTACACGAAAGGGTTGAATAGATGTTGGTGAATTTTCATTTTCCTAGTATCTATTCACCCCTCTTCTGTCTCTGTACACTCCGTTATCATTCCGTTATCATCCGTCGTTATAACTTTTGGCCCAGTTTCTTCGTGGAACGAAGCAATATTCTATTTCCGAACGAAAGCTATCTAACGTTTATTGACATTGACAAAGCAAACTAAACACGTAAACGTCAATTTGACATTACCTTGTTGCTCTGCAAGGGGATTGTCTGTTTTTGCGAAGCGCCGCTGTGCAAAGTTAAGAGATATCTATAAATAACACGATACGTTATCAACGTTCGTTTACACCAGAGCGAGCTTGGCTATTTAATCTAATCGCCACGCCTCTACATTTAATTAATAACAGAAATTAATGAATACGTCACTTAGTTCTCCATTGAATGCGGTAGCGAACGATCGTTTATGATTTTTGTGATTTAAGTGTGTGATAAAAGTTGACTTTATATAAAGATTCGCACATTGGCCCCGAAGTTATACCGGTTGATTAGAAAGGCCATAGATTATAAGTGTAACCTAACTTTTTAAGAGAAATTTGTGAACTTTCTTGCGATGTCCGTCTTAAATAACTTTACTGTGTCCGTTGCGAAGGGATTACGACGTAAGTACTATGTTTTTGTTTATTTATTTACTAATTATAACGTCCTTGAACAACTACAAAATAAGTTACAAAGTGGAAAGTATTTTAAAAGTGTTTTATTACTATATTACTGTATTCTTGAGTCATTTTTTATTCGTAAATAAATATACTCACGAACGCGTTAAACCCATTAATATTTTACTTAAATCGGCTATCAAAGTTAGTCTTCCTTTTTTAAATATGTGGTATTTTTTATCTGTATCTCCAAGTACAATGACCATTATTAATGAATGATGTAAACTAAATAAATATTAATAATAGGTATCTGTAATCTATTGATTGCTGTTTACCTACAATATTGTTGAGATAAAGCAAATATTTTGTTTATTATTATCAGCAAGTAACTCTGGATGGAAAGGTCTGGAAATTTCAAGATTGGAATATGTTTTTTTTTGTTTATGATTCCATTTTTGTCTTTGTATGAGCTTAAAAATCTATGCCCTGTAAAAAAAATAAAAGATAAAAAAGTATGAAAGCTTTTTAACATTGTGGATAATTTGATGATAAATCTTTTCGTAATACAAGTTTTGTGAAATAATAATTGCATCTGTATTTTGAAACATTTCATGAGGGTGTGGCTTATGTATAAACTAATTTCTTAGGTATTTAATCAATGAACTATGTCATAACATATTTGCAATAATCCTCTTTTTAAAAATTATATCTTAATCTGACGATAACAGTGGCCTTGCACCACTGTTATCATCTCATTTTTAACCAACTTCAAAAAAGGAGGAAGTTCTCAATTCAACGCATATTATTATTAATATTTTTTATATTTAATATTCTCTGGGTATTGTATAACACTATATTTGAAATAGTTTTCAAATAAAACCTTTTTTAAATTTAACTCATCGAAGACCAGCTATTTTGAATGATAATACTAATTTTTTTAGTACGATGTAGATAACTCATTCTTATTAGTGCTGGATAGGTAAAATCCCACAAATTTATATAAAAAAGTGTAAAAATATAAATAGTTTAAACAATGAACACATAAATATGTTTTTTATTATATTCAATGTATGATGTTATATATTTATTGTTTGAATTATTTATATAATTTTGTGGGGTTTTATATTTTCAATGTGGCTTTGAGTAAGTTTTCTATGATCCCAGAAAAATAAGATTAGAAACCTTGAGAAAAAATAAACATATCCATTTTAATTGGGCTTTTGAGGTTTTCTGAGCTTAAGAACCCAAAATTACTACTTTGAATACTCTGCGAGCCATCAGCTAGGTTATTATAACTGATTGAAGTTGTAAACACTTCACTTCAAGATTTTAAATTATTTATTGGTTAAAAATTTCAGTCTTCTCGTTAGTCATCTAAGTTGTAAAGTGTTACACTCTCTTCCTAAAATGGAAGAATGAGCAAGATACTCCATACTTACTTAGTTGCAGAACCCATTTCTTCGTTATATTGTTAAATTGTTTTGAATTAATTGAATTAAATTCCTTATTTCAAACCCGAGATCCATACATAAGCTTTTTTAGTTCTTATTGTAATGTTAGCTAAAAACATTACTTAACATTTATCAATTGTTGAAATCGACATCAGGACACACATGTTTCTTGCCCAGTATCTTATAAACAGGCCATCAATTTTGCGCGCCAGTATAGCTAGTATGCCGTTAGGACTGTACCTCAATCGCCGCATCACGGATGCATATTGCTTGCGTATAATGGCATAGAAGTCATCAACTCTGGTTTCCGCAAACAGTCCAAACACTTACACCATCGAGGCAACAGCACCCTCGCTGCATTGTTACATTGAACTGATTAATTAACTATATGAGAACAATTTTATAATGATGTAAAATTATTGCAATAATTTGATATTAAAATGGACTAAATCCAACCACCAGCAGAGCCATATCTCTTTGTTATCTTCAAGTAAACACGGGTTTTAAATGATGTTGATAATGTTCTTGCTTTTTATTTTTATTGAGTGATAATGTTTTATATTCTGTTTTTTTTGGGAAAATACACACATACATACACATATCATAATTTATGTATATTTTATGTTGGATGTTGAAGGTAAGAAGTTTTTTTTAACTTTATTTTAGTAGTTAGTTTTATTAATAATCCGATTTTATATCTAAAGTCGGATCGGATATTTAAGGATTCCGAAAGGAGGGGGAGGGATTTGGCCTCCGGTAAATCACTCACACGGCGAAACACTGTGGTTGTTTCAGGCTGGCTTTCTGTGGGCCGTGGTATTTCTCCAGTCTAGCCAACCCATCCGTGCTGAAGCATGACTCTCCCACATTTAATAATGACCTGAATGAACGAATTTAGTAGTAACTTTATAAAATTGCATGAAATGAATGCAAAATACACATACACTTATTGTGCTTACATTATGTAGATTGTAGACAATTATTCTGACCTAGTTTATGAGAATCTAGCCATCCCCATTCGAGTTTCAACCTTATTCTGGCATGTTCTAAAGGTGAAAATGTAGTAAAGATAAGTATTTGTTTTTTTAATGACATGGAGCGACAAATCAGCAGGGTATCAACAGAGTAGTTACGAGTGTGTTTTCGGCCTATTGTGGGTAAGAGAGAGAACTTTCAGAGTTGGGGTGATTAAAGGAGGGATAGACGATTGGGCCTCCAGTGATCTTATTCACGCTGGTTTTCTGTGAGGCCGTGTTTCAACTTTCGTCGAGCTGGACCGTCCATGTTTCAACCGTTTCGTTGTCGAAGCATGGCTCTCTCACACGGGAATTGGAGTAACTACATTAATTCTATTGATAGGTCATTAACATTAAGTACTTGAAGAATATATAATGCAAGTTCACGCTAAACTCAACTTAATAAAACTAGAAATTAAGTGTGGGAGAGCCATGCTTCGGCACGAATGGGTCGGCTCGACCGGAGTGATACCAAGGCCTCACAGAAAACCGGCGTGAAACAACCACAGCGTTGTGGCCGGAGGCCCAATCCTTCCTCTCCCCCAATCCCTCCACAATCCCTAAATCTCCAAATCTCTAACCCCTAAATGGTCGGCGACGCACTCTTAACTCCTCTGTTGCGGGTGTCCATGGGCGGCGCTGATTGCTTACCATCAGGTAATCCGTCTACTCGTTTGCCGATCAATTACCTACATAAAAAAAATATATCGAAAATGGCGATACATCGCACAGGTAGTCCTACTGTTTCTCATTTGGTATTGTGCCAACTTCTAGTTCACATACTAGAACAATGACAGAATGTTAATTATCTAGGTCATATGCAGTTGTCGCCCCTTTTCCTCCTCATTGGTTTTTGGTTACTGATTTCTTGGAAAGAACTCTAAAGATATGTCTTCTTGGTATGGCTTTAAATCTTTTTTAGGATTTATAGTTAGTCAAACATGAACTCAGGCATGAACAATTGTATCATTGTGATCTTCTCCGAGTTTATCTACCAATATACTTTCTAAGATTATTTAGACGGTAAACATCTTGAGGAAGCCTGAACTTATAAAGCCGCATTGTAACTAGAAAACATGTCGCGGAAATAAATCACTCAACATTTAGATACGTGGGACGATTTCGCTTGACTTGCCTTGAGTAAGCTCGGTTATAAATCAATTCTCCGAAAGGGAGCCTTTTCTCAGCAATAGGATATAAATAATAATAAGTACCTATACTCCTACAACTACCCCCCAAAAATTGCTTTTTTTATAAAGAACCCTTCGAGTTTGTTTCGGTATTTCTTCTCAGAGTAGTCAGATAGGAAATGCCGGCTACATCTAGTTTTTTTAATTTGTAACTAGCTCTTACCACTTCTTCGCTTCCGTCATTGGACTAGCTACTCTACGTTACTCTGTTTACTCTACTTATCCTATTTCTTATCTAACTCTCCACCAATTTTCAGCTAAATCGTTTTAGCTGTTCTTGAGTTGTAAGCAGTGTAACCAACACGACTTTCTTTGATGTAATTAGATTTTGATTTTGACTTGTAAAAGTACTGTTTTATAACCTACTAGCTTCAGCCCGCGACTTCATCCGCGTGAAATAGTGCCTTTTTGCAGTTTTTTGTTTTAGTCTCCGATCTTTTTTGGCTGTTTGTTGTTATGTTTAGAAAGTTCTCTAATTTATCATCCACTAGCTACTATCGCGCGGTTTCACCCGCTGCTCAGCTCCATTTGATCGTAGCGTGATGTTTTAGCCTATAGCACTCAGGAAAATTGTAACTATCTACCAGTGAAAGAATTTGGCAATCCCACCAGCGGTTCCAAAGATTACCCCCTACATACAAACTTACAAATTTTACCTCTTTTTAGTTAGAAACATATAATTATTCATTGTTTTTGTATCAGTATCGTCAATAATAATAATTTATTTAATATCTAGGGGGGGCTAAAGCATCACGTTTACTAATCACAAGATAACGAATGCATACTACCTACATTAAATTAACTAGCGAACGCCCGCGGCTCCGCCCATGTCGATTTTACACTTTTTCGTGTTTTGTTTTTTTAATTTCTCTACGTTCAAACTTTCACTGGACTACACCCCTTTTTCCCTTGAATGGTGTAGGCAGAGTGCTTTGTCGTTATTTGACGCTAATTTCCTGTGAGGCCTTGGGGCCGTGGTATCAGTCTGGTTGACCCGTCCCATTCGTGCCGAAGCATGGCTCTCCCTCACCTAAATTCTAGCTTTCTCACACTGTTTTCCTTCACAGTTGATCAAAATCTATACTAATATTACTAGCCGACCTGGCGAACTCCGTACCGCCGCAAACTTAACAATTTTTTGGCCTTTTAAACCTTACCTGGACTTCCACGAATAATTCAAGACCAAAATTATCCAAATCGGTAAAGGCATTGTTGAGTTATAACTTTACAACGAAAAGTGGCATTGATTTTTATACACATAATTATACAGATAAGTAAATTGTTATTGTTATTGCAAATTTAGATTCATTGTTGGCTTATTACCTATATCTATAATTTTATCGTTGTTT